CTTTGGCGAAAGAAGGACGCAGCGGCCCGCACTCCGCCCATCCACAACAGTTGCTGTTTTTTCCTGCTGCAGTTGTTGATGGTTTAGGATTTTGGGCGGGTAGCCACAATGTTTGCTGTGTTCTTTGCCGTGTACAAGTCCCGGCTCATCTTTGCTGTGCTTCGGGGACGAGTTTTTGGCACCAAAAGTAGTACCCCCAGCAGGTCGGATATTTTCGTGCTTACACGGCGAAGTTGTGGGGGATCCAACTCCTAATTGAGACGACGTCGAGCAGGGGGCACGATCATCATGCAATCCAGCATCGACCACGACATGCTCGACGCGGCTGTGGGAAGTCGAGCGATTCGCCTGTTTTTTTCCGGTCGGTGATGAGGTTAATATTACCGGTGCTAGAGCTCCTCCTCCGTGGGAGCTGCATGTGCCAGACCTGCTGCTCATCGTCCCGGCTCCTGCAGAACAAGCAGGGGAAGCGGAAGCACGAGCAGACAAAGACGCCACTGGTGACCGTCCAGAAACACCGGGCCGCGTAGGAGCTGCAGACGATGCAGCTGCAGCCGTAGGCACTGCCGCGGTAGAAGTTGCTCCTTGTCTCTTGTGCTGCTTTTTAGAACTAGTAGTACCGTTTTGACTAGTAGGAGTACCTCCTCCAGTTCCAGTAGACGAAGTAGTGATTGGAGAAGAAGAGCAAGCCGAAACAGTAGAAACACGACTTCCTGCTCCAAAAACTGGCAACATCCGTCCTCGGATGATGGACCCCAACGTTGCAAAACTGCGTCTCCAAGCATATACCATATCGGTACAAAACTCGACCAAACTAGCGGAAATTGCTTTCGCCGTGGACCAAACCCAACTGCACTTCACGCAGACTGATACAGCAATCGCTCTGCAGTAGACCTTATCAAATGTAAAAATGTCATCTGGGTCTGGAAGAGTCATGCTGTTTTTGCATGACACGCAAGGTCTGGCATGGAAGCTCTAACATCACAGGTTTCGCGAAGCTTCCGCAATGCCTAATCCGCATGACAGATCCCCCATTTTGCCGACAGAAAGCGGGCAGCTTTTGCTACCTATGCATGAGAGAATTTTCTGTGTTTTGAAATGCGCATCACAAGTTTGTCTTCTTCCAGACCCAGACATTTTTGCAATGTATAGACCTCCAGCCCAAGCTTCAAGTAGATGACGCACACCCGGAAGCCAAAGCGTATCCAGGAAAAAACACCCATCCCCATCCATTTTTTGCATGGCAAATAGTGGATTGCATGCATGCTTTGCATGACAAATTGGATGGGGATGCATGTTTTTCCCGGTCGATAAAGCGCTTGTGTTGCCGATCGTGTAAACCCGCTAACAGATGTTGTAACGGCTTCGATCCCCCGCCGGCCGGGTCAAGCTTTAATGTGGAGGTTTTGAAAGGTTGACCATTGCCACCACCTCCCGAGGATGCTTGACCTCCACCTCTATAGTTTCTCCTGTTAATACCCGCAGAATTATGCTGCTGTTGCTGTTGCCGGTCCCGGTTACACGACCCAGCAGATCCGCTACCAGCAGAGCTATGTTGCCTAGAATTCTGCTGGTGACTACTATTCTCCTGCATCCGCATATCACGAGAAAAAAGTATTACAGAGACGCATCTGTTGCAGTTTCTGCATCACAAATTTTCTCTGTGTGGCAGAGGAAACTTGTAATGCGAAGATCAAAAGGGAAAACAGAAAGGCAACGAGGCTCCCAAGCATTTCCTGCATGAGAGAGGTTGTCTGTGTTGCCGGTCTTGCAACACACTGTGTAACTCTAACACTTTTTTCTTGCGATACTGCAGTTGGATGCGGCTGATGGTGGTTTGCTGCGCCAGGCGGTGAAAATGTTCGGTGCGTCCCCGATGCACGAGCACGGCGAGAAGAGACGTGAGAACGGTGAGAAAAAAAGAAACCAGAAGTGCGAAGTTACTAGACTCTAATGAGTCGGTTTCCACCGTGCGGCTCTTGTGCTGCAGATTTTTACCCGTCGGCGCTCCTGGGTAAGATGATGTGGACGACGGTGATTGATGGTGCATATTTCGCGGCAATGATCCTGCTCCTGCTTCTGCCGTAGCAGCTGTGCCATCGATCTTCGTAGAAGAATATTGGCTAGTAGTACCAGTGTTTTTATTTTTGTTGGATCCATGGTTATTTGGGCCGCCGGCACCGTGGCCACGATTCCTCTGCCCTATCGGAAAGACCGGCTTTCTCGTCCCGTCGGCGAGAACTTCCATCATTTGCCCCGTTACCGGATCCTTCTCTGCGAAGTGGCGGGGGGACCCGGGGGGCGCGTCGACGTCCTGCAGGATGTAGGTGTCCACTGCTGGAGTGTTCGGATCGTCATCCCCGGCCCGCCCGCCTTTACGCATGTGAGACGGCAGAGGTATCGGTTCCGCGTATCCACAGGAAAAAACTACACCCATCCGCATCCATTGTTTGCATGACAAGCACATGACTTGAACTTGATACGTGTTTTGCATGACAAATTGGATGGGGATGGGTGTTTCTTCACTGTAATACCGCGAACTGAAACTCCATCGCCCTGGTCAACTTACCTTTGGGCGAAAAGGTTTTCTCAGTCATGATCGTCCTGGTCTTCACCTTGGCCGGCGCAACTGGTGCGCCAGCAGCACCGTCAGCAGGAGATGGACCTCCTCCTGCGAGATCATGCGCAACACCTCGTAGGTCCTCGGTGGTCTTCCTCGGGGTTGTACTTGTTGTACCTTCAGATGTCAATCTTTCTTCGTGCGTTGTACTTGAAGTAGTACTAGACCCCACATCCTCCGTCCTCCACCAGGAATACTCTTTGATGTCGTCCATCTCGATCCCGTTTGCTTGAAAAATTTTCCCGACCTTATCCCCCAGCACATCCATCCGCGGGTCGTGGCCGTTGTCGTCATGCACTACTTTATTTGTATTCCCCCCTCCAGCTTCCTCCCACACGACCTTCTCAACCTCCTTGCTGATCCTTTCCAGCTATCCAACAAAAAAGTGTTAACGATAACGGTTTTCACAAATGGCAGCCATGAATTACAAATTTTGCCTTCCATGCATGCTACGCAATACAAAAACAAATTTGCGCACCTTTTCTGATGCATCACTGCATCACAAATTCCGTTAACGTTAACACTTTTTTTTGTGATACCAGCTCGGTCAACTTCGTCTTCTCGTCCGCACCGTCTTCAATGTGGTGCACTTTCGGGTCGTTTCGTTTCGCAGCTTTCGGCGTCGACAGACACAGAGGTTCTTGACGGTCACCTCCAGATGGTGTAAAAATGGTAGGCGAGATTTTATTGTTGGAATTCAATGCAATACTAATGTCCGCCCTGTACTGCCCGCTCTCTTTCATCTTGCCCTTGGGCGAAACTCGAAGATGCGTTTCTACTGTTTTCTCTTCTCGACGTCGTCCCGAGGCAGGAGCCACGGAGTTCTTGTCACGACGAGGAGAAGTAGTAGTTCTTGATGTTGTAGCAGGAGCTTCCTCGTCCTGCCACCCGTCCGAACTTTTCTCCTCGCAAATTACATCTCCACGCGGTTCTTGGTGCTCGTCATTATTTCTTGGCTTGTGTAGAACCGGCTGGGGACGAGATTTAGGGGCTGACGCCCGCTCGGTGTTCTCGGAGGAGGTCGTCATGGTACTCGTGCTAGAAGTTCCTGTGCTGCGCTTGTTCTCGTCCACCGATCTGGTAGTAGGGCGGGTACTGTTGCCATCAACATGATCTACTTCCAACTCGCCTCCTCCACCTTCGCGTCCTCCAAACATGAACCGCATAAAGCGATCTCCAAAGGAAGTTAAAAACCAGCTCTGCACGATCACAAGAGAAAGTGTTAACCTTAACGGAATTTGTGATGCAGAAATGCATCACAAGACGTGTCAGAATTTGTCATGCATAGCATGCATATTGGGCTACATTTGTAATGCATGACTGCAATCGGTGAAAACCGTTAACGTTAAAACTTTTCTCTGTGATATGCGTCAACAGCTTCCCCTGAGCGTTCTGCCTATCAAATGTAAAAATGTCTGGGTCTGGAAGAATACAAACTTGTGATGCTAAATCTGGATCATGAAAAAATTTGTGTTGCATGAGTGTCAAAAGCTGTCCACTTTTGACCAAGTTGGGAGTGAGTTTGTCATGCAGGATAGGCATGATACAGATCTCACAGAATCTGTCATGCTAGATCCTGCATAATTCCAGACCTCATGCGTCATGTTGAACCTGCATGACAAATCTTGCAATCTTCCAGACCCAGACATTTTTACAATCCATACTGCCCAAAGTTAAGCAACACCTTCCAAAAGCTCCTACCCTCCGTGAAGACGTAGTAAAAACCCAACTCGAGAAGTAACAGAGTGCACGAGAGACCGACGAAGGCGAAGGTAATGTAAAACATCACGGTCGCCCTCGCCGCGTGGTGGTGTTCTCGCCCAAGAAAAGTTTCTTTAGCTGTTGCCGCAATGGTCCGAGTAAGTTGTAGCAATATTGTTCCTGATGTTCTTTCTGAAGAAGAAGTAGAGATTGCGGTTAGAAGATTTTGGTTGCTGGCAGTCACGTGTACTACTGCTGATCGACGCCGACAGACGCGACACAGTAGACAGAAAGGTATTTTTCCTTGGGTAGACGACACGGAAACTGAAACGACGCTGGACCTAATAAATATTGAGGTTTTGTGGTCGAATGTTGACCACCTATACGCGATGAAGATGTATTTCTATAATTTGCTTCTCCGATTGATTTGATGCTTTTGCCACAACTTCTAGATCTAGATTCGGCGATTACATTATCCACGAAATTCGAATTCCAGACCGCTTGATGTTGCTATAGTTTTCTCGTAGACCAAAAATTTCAATTTGTCAATCGATAGAGGAAGTCATCAATGTAGATAGAAGTAGTCTTTTTGTCGGAGCTCCTGTTCACACAGATGGAGAACCGCGCTGCGACACTTCGAAGGGAAGATAAAGTTGTTGAAGATCGTGGTGATAGTTGAAGAAGGTTGCTTTGGCTTTCGTCCTATTTTTGTACACGCCTGCTCCTTTCAGATACCTTTTTTTGATGAAGTTGTTCTGGTAGAAGTACAACGAAATCTTGTTTTCCGGGATGAAAGTGAAACCAGCTTAACGCAAGACTTTCCTGAGCGTGCACGTTGGTCCGTCGTGAAAGTTTAGCTTTGACACCGGCGGAAGGTGATCGCCGGTAGTACAAATATGCTCCAGAGCAGCGAGCGTTCAGGATGTTGTATCCCGCAAAACTCGTCTTGGTCTTCCTGCCTGCTTTCCGCCAATACGGGTAAAGAGCCTCGGTGCTGGTAGAGACAGAGAAACCTCGTGGACCACGTCCACCACGTCTGCTTCGTTATATTTGATGTGGACAGATCAACAAACAATCTTCGCTTGAAATATATTATGCTGACAATCCTATATTGTTCGGTTTGGAATGTTTCTTCACAGCTCGGTGATTCCCTCACCCAAATGAGGAAACTAACTTACCCTTCTATGCGAATTTTTTGTACAAGAACATCCGGTTGTAGTTGTCTTAATGGTGCAGTTCGTTGACGTCCACGCACCACGACCACGACGACAATACATAGAAAAAAGAACTACGAGAGAACAAAAAGGGATGATCGCACAGAAAACAACGGGCATAGAAAAGGTCTGGATCGTCCATGTGCAGATCTTGATCCAAAAGCTTAGTAGATAAGAAAACTTGCTAAAAATGCTGGTTCCTTCGCGGACTTCTCAAAGTTAAACAAGCTGAAACAGGTAACACCCGATGGAAAGTTTGATGATCGTCTGAAGATGTTTAGTGCGAGAAACGCAAACGCGTACGCAAGAAAATGAGAGATGAAAATGGCCGTGCGAGCGTGTCATGGGTCCAACTTCATTCATCAAGCTGATCCCGGCGCACTATCGTCCCCTGGCTGCCGCGCAGCTGGAGCCCGACTGAGAAAGTACCACGACACTGAGCCGCACATAGAAAGGGCAATGGTCGTCGAATGTAGTTCATCGAAGTTGGAACACAACTGGTTACATTTGTCCAGGTCCGCTGCAATGGCATCCAATAAAACAAGCGAGCAACAACTACCGCACAATCTCACGGTGACCTTAATCGAGTCCCGAATTCTTTTTTTTCTTATGGATGCGAAAACAGTAACAAAGTCGTGCTAGTATCGGAGCGCATTTTTCGAGCGGATTTTTCGCTGTTTCATCTGGGCTTCTCTTTCAGACGGAGATCTACTCTCTCCCGCCAAAAAGAACTTCTGCTACATTGAGATCGTCGCACCACACTGACAAACGCTTCATCTCAAATCTGCCGGAACTCTTTTCCACTGACGATGTGATACAACAGTCGATACTGCTTCTCGTGTTCAACCACAGCGTTCATTTTTTTTCCCCCCGGAGGAACCAAAACGTCGAAGTTGAGTTTTTTCTCGCAGAACCGCCGAAGCTTCTGCATCATGTGCATGGTGTCATCCAGAAAGGGTTTTTCGAGCAACGCCAGACAGGCAAAGACTTCCCCGAATAAAATTTCGATTTTTCTCCCGTTCTCCACCACCTCGGACAACAGACACTGTCCATCTTGCATCGCGTTGGCGCGCGAAATGAGCTGATTCACTTTCAACGTGAGTTGTTTTCCAATCAGGATCGGGTTCTGTCGGTGGTCCGGGGACAAAAGCGTTTGGTGGATGTAGCTGAGCATTGAGCTGTTGACGTTGATTTCATCATTTAGCATGCTGGTCGTTGTTGTGCAGGCAGTTGTTGCATCTGGTGCTGCATTTTGTAGTTTCACCGCCACCGCCTTGTGGGTCTTAGAACTTCCTTCCGCATGGAATTCGTCTGACGGTAAAGATTTTGTTCCGTCCTCCTTCAGCTCGGCATCGTCAGAGCTGCCAAAAGTAGCAGTTTTTTGAGCCGACAACAAAGTCAAATCTTGTTGCTGCTCGTGTTGCTTGTCTTCTTCTTGTAGCTCCTCATCTATTTTTTCGACTGCCGCATCAGCCTGATCTTCATGATCTCCGTCGCCGTCCTCCGAGGGGATTTCTTCTTCATCATTTGGCTCTTGTTCGAAAATTTCCACCCCGTCCGACCCCGCATCTTCCTCTTCCTCGTCTGAGGAACCGTCGCTGTTTTCGCTTCCATCTTTGCCGAGAAGCGTGAAATCGAAAACGGTCTTCTGCTTCTTGTATCTCAGCATAGTTTCGGATTTGCGATGAAGGGAGTGCTGTTTTCCTTTCCCTTTCTTCTTGACGGGCTGGGGCATGGGATCCACCTCTTTATCGAATTGATCGGATTCTTCATCACTATCGTCATCGTCGTCGGCTACGGACGAATTGTCGTGTAGCTCCGCAAACAAGTTGTCCTTGTCCTCTTCCAGCATCTCCACTACTTCTCCATCGCTTTCATCGTCATCCACCTCCGCGCTCTCTTCATCCGGCGCATCAGCATCTGCCAGTGGCGAACTTGTTGTAACTGGTTTCTGTATTTCCGCCTGCAGCTTCGCTCGCAATTCTCCAAACTTTTCCAGGAACTGAATCTCCTCTGCATTCGGGCTGACCATTTTCCGCTGCATGTCCGACCACGACGTCTCTTGGAACAGTCTGGGGCTGACCTTGACCATCTTCCGCTGCATGTCCGACCACGACGTCTCTTGGAACAGTCTCGCGGTCGCAGAAATGGCAGGTTTGGAAGTAATACCACTGTGCTGCTCCTGGAAGTGGTCTTGTTTCTGTTCATTTGCGTCCTTCAGTTTGCCTTGGTCTTTGGCCAGTGCCGTCGTGGTGGTTTCTGGCTCTTGCAGCAGCGTTGATGGCCTCGTTGCATCCGCATCTACAGTAGTTGCTCCAGTACAAGTTCCACTGTCCGCCGGGAGCTGCACACCAGCACCTGTCGCGGTGGTCTGATTCATCTTGCCGCTCGGGGGCAGCTGCTCCGGTGCAGCTTGTTCCGGGGCATTCACAGACTTATCGTTCTCCAGCTGCTTTATTTTCCGCCTGCTCGCCTTCTCCTCCACCTCCTATGGATTGCAAAAGTATCGTACTCGTATCAATGCATTACAAATTTTCTCAGCATGAAAAATAAAATTTGTAATGCGGATTTACCTTAAGAGCAAGATTTGTAATGCACGTTTGCGATTACTACGAGTACGATACTTTTGCACAGGATACCTCCTTCGCAACGACAACTTTCGGGCACTGGTACAGCCGCTCGTACTGTATATGGAAGCGTCAGGTTTGAAATCGTCAAAGTTGAAATGATTTGTCATGCATAAAATGCAAGGCATGAAGTGCCTGTCTTGCCGGGATGGCAAGTGAGGCCGCGTGTCAGCCTGTTTAGGGTTTGAAGTAGAGCTGCTAAAGGAGCATGACAAAAGCAGTCGTCTGTGCCCAAACAGCATGACTAATTGGATTTCGGTGCTCGGAAAATTTGTGATGCGCCGCTTGGAAATTGGGTTTCCAACTGGTATACATTTTATGCATGACAAATCATTTCAACTTTGTCGATTTCAAACCTGACGCTTCCATACTGTACGCGCCTTAAATATTCGATCGCGTCCAAATCTTCAAGCTTCTCCTTTCCCCAGTCCGGTTTTTTCGGCGGTTTTTCCTGCCCATCTCGCTCGTCGATCAGGGCAAAACACTGCCGACCGATAGGCTCGTCGTCTTCGGAGGAAGTGCTGTCAGACGGCGCGCGGTCATGTGCTTCCCACTCTTCTTCTGATTCCTCGTAGTTGTTCTTCGTGCAATGATTTTGGTCGCCGTGTTGTTTTTCATTTTTTTGCTCCGCATCAGAACTGGTGTCAAGAAACCCGCTGCCTCTGTCTTCGAAACTGGAATCGAGGTCCAGATCAGTCGCGCGGTTCATCTGGCGCTGTTTGTTGCTGTTCTCCCCAAGAACTGTATCTTCCATTGTGGAGGTAGTCGTAGCTTCTATCACGACCGCTTTTGAAGATCCATCAGGCTTTTCCAACTTCGCCTGTTCCTTTGCCCGTTGCCGGGCTTCCTGGTTCTTCTGCCCGCCACGACGGCCCATATTGATATTTGCGAAAATCGAAACTATACCACGGTATCAACGTCTACGTCGGCTACGGTGGACTTACAAATATCTGCGGCCAGAATGATGATCTGAGGTCGTCACAAATAAACTCAAAGACCTCGTCGTGTGCTTCTCTATTTCTTCTGCTTCGTTCACTACTTGACTCAAATCGGAAAGAGCTACGGTCTAGTTTTCCTACGTCGCCTGGTGTCAACATCAACATGATTTGTGAAAATGTTGAGCAGTCAAAATTTTGTAGCTCGTCAGCACATGTATCTTCAAAAAATTGGCACTGGTGCAGGTGAAAGAACCATCGAGAGAAAGAGGATCCAAATTCTGCAGGAGCTCCTGTCTTGGATTACTTATTTCTTCCTCGTGCTTCTATCTTCCAATACGATCAGAGGATCAGTGCGTCAGCGATTCCGAACCAAACTGATCTTTTTGAACGACGAACGGAAAAAAGCAAAGCTTACCTCCGGGGGAAAAATAAGTCAGAAATGATCTGCATGTGCTATTTATTGCTTTCGATATCGATTTTTTCAATGGATCATCTAGGAAGCAATGCACTCCGGCAGCAAGAACATCACTAGCCACAGTACCACCTTAGGTGGTTTCCCACCACTAGTACAAAGGCATGATTAGTTCGCCTAAACATAATTATTTCGACTAACTCAAACTCTGTACTTTGGACGTTTTCCCCTTGGCAAGTGAGCACTTGTTCGAGGTGGGAGGTCCTATCTTGGATATAAAACATGTATGATGAGTTCTTTGTGACTGGGTAGTCACAATTGATAACACAAAAAATCGAAATCCAATTCATTTGTTTGGGGGGTACTAGTCATTTTCGCATGATCTTCATGAGGATTGTAGGTTGCATTCGCATGGCCGGTTGTTGTGTGTGTCCTACTTGAAAAAGTCATGTCGAGATCGTAAGCGTATTTCACCTGCAAACAAGGGGACGACTTGTCGCTGGCACGTTCATAATTCAAGGAATATTCAAAGCAAAATTCAATTATTTGTTTGTCATGCTGCTGCCCTAGAGGGAGGTTACTTGCATGCAATAATCACCGTAATACCAGTGCTCATTTTATCATTTCATTTGTACACAAGTTTCACACTCGGAATCTGCACATCAATGTCGTCTGCGTCTGTGCTGGTAACTTCAATCGCGAGGAACTTCTTGTACGCCGGCAGTTTTGTTTTGGTCATATGCAATGCAAAAGCATCGCACTAGTGTCAATTGCATTACAAATTAGCCACGCATTACAAATTAAATTTGTAATGCTGAACTACCTTGGCATGGAGATTTGTAATGCATAAATGCAATCACTACGAGTACGATACTTTTGCACAGGATAGGTCACCGTCTCAAACAAGTCCGTGACCTTTTCCGCGGTTCTCTTTTTGTGCGACGGCAGAAACGCGTTGTACAAACACGCGTTGCCGGACGAGAGAATCACGATGTCGCACCCGTACCGGTCCTGAATGGTGTCGATCAGTTTTTTCAGCGTGATGTCGTATCCTGTGTAAAAGTATCGCACTCGTATTGCAATCATGCATTACAAATATCTTTCTCAAGGCAAATCAGCATTACAAATTCAATTTGTAATGCTGAGAAAATTTGTGATGCATTTCTACTAGTACTTTTACTTTTGCAATTCATATGTCGCCACTGTCCACGATCACCTTGTCCCAGCTCGTAAAGCCCTCCGGAATTGCCCGCACCGGGCCCGCCAGGATCGGGTCCATGTCGCGGGACTTTACCCGGATCGGCTCCGAAGGTTCTGAGAGCACGAAGAGCGGCAGGGCGAGGTTCACAAACGCATTTTTGAAGGGCTCGAGCAGTTTCGCGTCGAATTTGGTGGAGTCCAAATCCGGGTGCTGCAGCTGCAGGGCGACGATCTTGTAGAGCTCGCAGAGCACCAAACCCGTGATCATCGCGGTAGTAGTGGCGATGGCCGGGATGATTTTGCCCGCAATCATTTTCACCTTCATAAAATCCGCCTCCTGAATGCTGTAATTCCGCGCGCGGAGGTTGGCGCAGGCGGCGATGAAGGCGATGTGGAAATTTGTGTCGTCGTCCTTCTCGAAATCAATCGGGAATAAGGTTCGCAGCTGGGTAGTTTCACTGGCTGCAGACACTTTTGCCAGCAGCTCGGCGGAAAGCGCGTCGGCTGTGATAGAGCAGTTTGGATTTGGATTTTGATGCTCAGAACGATTTCATAGTACTTCAAGTTGTGTACTGATTACGAGAACAAAAGGATCGTGGAAATGCGTAAAAACCGCTGCTCCACCTCGAGAGTCGTTGTCGTCGAGCGTCAAATCTAGCAACAGCATGCAGTAGGATACGGAAGGGATTCCTCTAATTACCTTTAGTCAAAAGCTCTTGTACCTGCAATTGTATCGTCTGCCGCTCCTTCTTCCACAGTGTCATTGTCATTCACTTTGATTTTCACTCCCTGCTTTGCTTGAAACGGCTCCACCGTGCAGCCTTTCGCCAGTTTCCGAATCACCTCCTTGTCTTGCACGACCTCCTCACCGAGGTTGTTCAGCAGCAAATTGACGCAACCGTGAATGTACCCCAGATGCGTTTCATCAGAGCTGTCAAACCCGATCACCCGCGGCATTCTTTTCGGCCCGGACCAGAACAGCGCGCCCTCGGAGGTCACGTGGTCTGCTGGGAAGTTGTGCAGCAGTTGGCCAATCTGGTGGCAGAAATCTTCCTGGAATTGGTTGACCGCGTATTGGGTCAGGGTTTGCTTCAACTGGTCACTACTCGTGGATTTCTCAACCAACATTCTCTTCACTGCCCTCAACTTGGTCACCTGTGCGGACGCTGCGGATTCTTGCTTCAGTTTTTGCAGAAATTTCTCCGGATTTTCGAGGAAAGTGTTGACCTCTTGGGCCGCATCCACGAAGCACTTCTGGAAGCTGTCGCGGGCCCACTCGATGGTGTGCTCAATTTGGTGCGGGAAATGCTGTTTTGATTTTTCATTCATGTCGTTCTTATGCCATGGGAACTACAACTACACTACAAACATAAAGCGCTTTGCATCCAAAAGATTATGCATTTCATCAACTATTTGATTTGCAGCTGTCATCTCTGACTTTGTCATCTTTACCACGATCATCATAGTACGAGTACCTTCATCGTGCACAGCGGTATGCTTTCTTCTGGCGGATCCTGCGAGTCTCCGTAACTTTGCGTCAAGTGTGGCAGCACCACCTGGCTGTTTCCCTTCGTGCCGAGGGTCCCACTTTCGAGCAGGGGTCGCTCGTACCAGACGCACTTGCTGTCTACGTACAATCTCGCCTGCACGTTATCTAAAGCGTTGATGACGCAGTCCTGACGGTGCCATATCCCACAAAAAAACTGCTCCACTGTGATGATTTTGAAAGATCTGCATCACAAGTTTGTTACACATGACAGTGAAAATCTGTCATGCGCGCTTTTCAAGAGAAAACACGCTTGAAAATCCAATGTATTGCAGGTGTAGCAAGACAACTAGTTCTGTGTTCCATTTTCTGCATCACAAGTTCACAGTGAAACAGTTTTTTCTTGCGATATGCCAAAACTCGTCGTTAAAGGTGTCCTCGGTGTCCGGTCCCACCCGCACCTCCAGCTATCCCCTGTGAAAACGTAGTCACCCCAGAGCTCATGTAATGCAGATATGCAACTGCAGGAACATTTGTGATGCGCAGCTCCATGGCAGGCGTTTCCAACCTTATTTTGGATTTTGTGATGTTGTAATCAGGATCAGAAAATGGCTTTGTCGTGCGGCTGCCTTTGCTAAACTGCGCTACAAGAGTCATGCGCGACTTCCAAAACTTCTGAATTTGTGTTGCTAAGTTCCCAACTTGACTCTGGGGTCGGGACGTTTTTACTTAGGATATCAGCGCGTTCACATTCAGTGCGCTGTTAAACTCCTTCGCTGATTCGCAGGCGGTGGAGGACTTGGCGGACCCGACATGCTCCCGGTGGAACAGAAACTGTCGGTTCAAATTGGACACCTCAATCCGGTCCATGTCGGTACAAGTGAGCTTCCCTGATGATGAAGATGAGGAGCCTGTCGCGCAACACCCCATCAACGCCAACCCCTTCAAAAACTCGCACCCCAACGCGCCCGCGCCGACGACGAAAAGGTTGAGCGATTGGAGCTTTTTCTGAAAACTTTCGCCAAAGATGGCAATCTGGTCGGCGTACCGGCTGGACTGCATGTTCAAGGTTAGTACATCCCCTACGTTATCGTTGATGCCCGGCATGATGAGCTCGAACATGTCGAGGTAGAGGTACTGGTGTAGCGGCGTGTACTTCCCCGTAAATTTCACGACCTCCTGCGCGATCAGCCCGCCGAGAAAGGCCGCGAAGCAGGGCAGAGAGCACTTTTCGTATTTCTGTATTTTCGCAATCAACTCCTCACTGACTTCGGTCTCACTAATTGGGAAGTTGGTCTCCGGCACCTGCTTCATTTGCTCCAAATGGGTTTTCGCGGCGTCAACTGCTGATGTTTTTTGTTCTCGGGCAATTCGTACCCCTTCAAACGCGAGATGCATCTGCTCGGGACGCCCGATCTTGCTGAAATCGCACATGGGAAGGGCGTACTCGCTAGGGGCAACTGGGTTCAAGCGAGAGTCTTGCCAGGAGCGGAATTTCATGGGCTTCGGGACTTTCACTTGAGTCACAAGGCCCTCCCGCGTATACTGACCAAAAGCGGAGACGTCCTGGGAAGTAGATGGTGATTTCTTTGCATTCGAAATGTGTCCTTGAGCATCAATAAACCATCGAGCATGCTGCCTAAAAATTCTCATAAATTCTATATGACAAAGAGTTGTCAGTCTCCAATAACAGGAGCTTCCTTCAAAATTGCTACTAATCCTACTGACCTAGTACCTTCACTCCTTCTGGCAGCTTTAGCACGAATTGGTATGGCCCGGTCACTCGAATTTCGTACTGTTTGTCGTTAATCCCGGTCATGCCCTCGACCTCCCGAAACGTTACGAAATCGCCGTCCTCGAACCCGTGCCGCTTGCTCTCGTGCGTCAACACTTCCCCCTTTTCGGAGATGTTCGCGATGATGGCCGTTTTTGGTTCCTCGCCGTTGCTGTCGCGGATCAAAAACTCGTTGCCAAAGTCCACAAAAACTTTCGCCGCCAGACCCGCATTCTCGACAAAAATAAAGCCGGTGCTGCTGGCCCGGCATTTCTCATTCAGGTCGGTTATTTGCTGCGTTGCAAGTGGTATTCCGTCGGAAAGTATTCACAGTAAATCTACTCCCGTAAACGTACAAATGTGGTCTCTGCATGACAAAACTTAGCTCCGATCCTAGTTTAGCATGACAAGTGTTACAGTCCCAATTGGAAAAATTTGTGATGCATCTTGTACATGTACGGGAGATTTGTATTGCATAGAAAGCACAACGACGTCGAAATCCTGACTCGGTTTCAAATCCGCCAAGGACTTCACGCTCGAGTCGACCACTATCAAATGCAAAAATGTCTGGGTCTGGAAACTTGTGATGCAAGTCCGTGAACAATAAGTGCTCTGTAATGCGCCGCCAAGCATGGCAAGTTTTTTCGTGCTTCTGTGCTGCGTATTCCGCATGAGAAGCTGCGCTTTTGCATGACAGGCAAGAGGACCTCTTGGTGGCCACGCAATACAGAGTGCAGAGCCATGCCAGACTAGCATGACAAATCTCGCAAAAATCTCCCTGACCGAGACTACATATTTGCATTTGATAACCACCGTCACGGTCACATACGGATTCAGCTTCTGGAGCTTGGCGCAGCAGGCCTGGGCCCGGGTTTTTTTTTGCTTCACATCTTCCTCCGTGATGTAGAAATTGCGGCCCAAATCGCCCAGCTGGCAAATCTCGGTGTCGTAGAGGAGAACCGCTTTGGGGCCAGCGAGCTGTTACAGTGAAAAATGCCCCCGCCCCCAAAGTTGGAATAACTTGTGATGCGAAGTTTCCAAATGAAAACTTTTTGCCATGCATGAAAGGAGCGTGAATCTTTCTGATACAGAGTCTAGTAGGCGTACATAGCATCGCTTGCATGAGAAGCGCTGTTCTTGCTGGGGTCTTTTGCAATACAAATTTTTGCTGTTCACAGTTGAAAATCTGTGATGCTGATAGCCGCGAGAGGGCGAGTGTTTCATTTGGAAACGTTTGCAATACAAGTGCGCCCAAGGTCTGGCGTGGGGGCATTTTTCATTGTAATACGAGCACCAGATTCTTTGCGACCTCAATCCCCACGCCGGACAAACCCTGGATGCAGACACGGAGTTTCACGAGCCTGCAGTTCCAGTTGTCGAAATTTGTATATATGTATGAAAAAAGTGATTTTTTGCATTTCTACTGATGAACTACGGAACTGTAAGTTAGAACTACAAAACTTCTCATCAAGACCACATCGCTGCTGAATTTTCATGGTAGTTGCACAACTTCCAGATGTTGCTCGTGGTTGGGCAGGGTATTACCAATAGAATCGGGGGCAATACACAGTTGCTATGTAGTAACGAACAAGCGAGACTAGTACTTCTTACCTGCCCATCGTCTCCATTCCGAAGGTTCCGATTTGCCGTGAGTAGAGATCCTTGTTGGTCTATGCAGTGGGAAAAAAAGACCTAATTTTTGTGATGCCTTGTTCCTTAGTGCTTGAGTAATCAGATTCTTCGAGATGACGCAGTTTGTCACGCATCTTCGTCCAACGAATTTGCTATGCTCGACGTAAATAGACAATAGACGAGTTTGCTATGCTCGACGTAAAAGTCATGTTTATGCAGCCACCACTTCGTATGATGCCTGCTACGATGTTGCAGCATAGCTGACTCTGCAATGCTTTTGATGCTTCTGGTGATCTTCGTGATGCGCGAAGAATTTATGCAAATAAAGCAGGCCGGTTTATTATGGTCTTGCAGCTGATATGATCTCCGGCTCCCGGGAATCGTCCTTCATCTCAACCATTTTGTTCCTATATTTTTCTGCGTGTACTAGTTGAAGTAGAAGAGGCTTTCAGAAGTATCTACACAACAAGAACATCAATGAATGGAGTGATCGCATAAAAAAGGCGACTTTGGTCTTTTTGTTCAAGCGAAAATTCGTTGTAGAGACTGTTGAAAGTGGGCTGTTCTCGTAGATAGTCGGTATTCCTACGGCGATCTTCTGCATGGGCGACTCTCCAAGGAGATTATACAGCAATGTGATAAAAACTCCGACGCGGCCAAGGAAATAGACCGGCGTTGGTCGCGCAATTCATTACTTACAGATAAAGAAGTGCTTCTATGTTGAGATCGCGGAAACCAGGTGCAGACAGACCTCCAGTTCTGATGGCCACAAAGCGGCTAACAAATCGTCCTCCCAAAAGCAATTCATTGTTCATTGCAGACGATGTAGTGATAGAGAAAGGTGCACCAAGAAGATCCTCTGTCTTGCTCTTGCTTTGTTTATTTTACAGAAGAACTGAGCCTTTTTTTCGTGACTGGACGTGGTCGCTTTTTTTCTTTTCGCTTTGATCGCACGACCTCATTGGAGCTTCTTTGTCTTCCTTCTCTGTCAAATAGAGTCGAAGGTTAGAAGCACGTTGAACACACGTAGCGGGAACACCAACACGATCATGCCACATCATCGTGGGCTCCTTCATTCAGCGCTGCGTGTGAATTTTCATCTAGGGGTCGATCTACTACTTAGCTGATAATCTACAGTTTGGGATGATCGTGTCTTTCTTCAGAGGGGCTGAAGTAGTGTTGCTTGGGCTTCGCAACGTCGCGATCAAGATGCATAGAAATTCAACCTTTCAACACAAGAAAGGACCAGGGGAAAACTTTTGTCCGAGTCAGCATGTACTTAACTCGAAAGAAGAGAACGGAAAGAAAAACTTTTGAAGCTATGAACCGTTATCATCGGAATGAGTCGCCCGCAATATCGAATACCAAAAAAAATCTCAATTTAGGAAAAATCTAGCGTCGGTCTTTTATGCGGTAGATGTTGTTTGTTTGTTGTTTGTTTGTTTGTGTTCATGCGTCAAGGTGGGAACGCGTTTACTCACCTTTTTCCCTAGGCGTTTGTTTGTTCATATTGGATACAACACGGAATCCGGTAAATGTTATTTTTTCTTTCTTGATGAAGATGATCATGACGTGCGAAGACTTTTTTGAAGGATTTCAATGAAAACACGCCGGGCGAAATATCGTTCATCGCCTGAATAAGACTACTTTTGTATATTTTTTTAGCATAGTTGGTTAGAAACCTGTTTGAAAAGATAACTCGAAAAAAAATGTGAGGAATTGGACGTGTTAGTTTTTTTTCTGTGGTGCTAGTGCTGCTGATCACGCGGAATGGGGGAAATAAAGAACTGACATATCATGTGCCAAAATTTGTGAAAAAAAAATAGAAATCTGCCCGCCCCCTGGTCCGGTCGGTCGTGAGGACAACGACAACAACAACATCAACAACAAAAATACTTCCTGAAAAATAAAACAGACTCTCCTGTCTCTTGCTTATGCGAAATCGATGAAGATGAGAGTGTGAATGCTAGAACCCCGCGCCTGCATTCTGCTGCGACGGACAACATCGTCCTCGCGTAATTAAACTTCGAACAAAAAGCCACATTCTCGAAAAGAGAAAACGCCACCTCTCGTCGCCCCGACCACCTTTTCACACCGAAAGCGAAAATCCACTCAGGGACCGTTTGCTCGGCGTGTCGGCGTGTTTTTTTAAATGAAAACGACTTTCCGCTCTGGACTGGTCGGATGTGAGTGGGTACGGAGCAGCAACAGCAGCACCGGACGTGGCTTGTTCGTCATGCTCCCCTGCGCCGGAGGTGGTCAGCTTCGTTTTCTCCAGACTGGAAGAAGGGGAAGTAGAGTCTTCTACTTCATCCAGCTTCTCTTCCGAATCCCATCCCGTCCAGTCGTACGGTGTAAAACCGGTCCAGTCCGACCGCGCCGAAAACCTCTCACGGTACTTCTCCATCCAATCTTCCGCTGTAGCCTCCTCCGGGTTCAGCTCCATTCCCCACTTAAGCAGGGCCATAGCGTGCTGTTGGTAGGCTTGTGCCTTTTCTTCAGCGGCAAGATTCTGCCACACTTCAAGCTGCATGCGCGCCACGTCGGCGCCTTCTGACGTCGGCACGAGGGCCCCGTATTCCAAGAGCTCAGCTGCCGGATCCCAAAACCAATGTGCGAAAAAATTGCACAAAAAAATCCGTTGTTCTGACGCGTCAGCCGCACGAGCAGCAGAGCCGCAGTGTCCGGAGATCATTTCGAGGTAGCCCAGGGGATCCGGCAGCAATTGCAATGCGCGCTGCACCGAAATGTTGTCCTCCCCTACCAGTGTGAACATTTTCCCATCCATGATGCTTTTCAGGCACGCGAGGCCGTCCACCATGCACGTCATGGCGAAGCCGACAGCGGCATTTTTCGGAGTGCGACGGGAGAAGCTGAAGCCCGGAGTGCTGGCCGCAGTTTCGTCGCCGGAAGGAGCGGAAGAGGCAGGAGTTGTACTCGGCATTTTTGGCTCCATCCACAAAACCAGCTGATTGCCCTCTTCATCCTCTTCATTCCCGCTCGTAGCGAACATCATCGGGTCCACTAGTGATCCGCCTCCCATCGTGACGAACCAGGGGAACTTGGGGGCACCACGAGCATCACCCTCCGGGAACATGATTTCGTGGCTGTGCCCCGATACTGGAGGAAAATCCCCGCTTTCGGCCAACATCGTGTCGTCGTACGCTTCGCCCAACGTCGTGCCCGATTTCTCCTTGTTTCCAGTTCCCGCTTTCACAACCTTCCTGCCCGTTCTTTTCGCCGTCAGTTTATTCCGACGGCTAGCACGGGCTTGCAAGAACGCTGAAGAGGAGGCTCCTTCCCCGGATAGCTCCTCGTCCTGCGACGAAAGTAGACTCAGCATCCAGTCGGGAAGTAGCTGTGGGGCTGCTAGGCTTTGCCCAGCATCAGCACCTTCATCGTCCTCCACGACGACTCTCATCCACTTGGGAAAGTGCTGACTGGCCGCGTCCTGTGCGATTGTGGCAGCGCACTGCTGCAGATCGATGATGCAGAGGAGCACGGATGTCACGCCGACTTCTAGAAGTGTTTGATTTTCCTCTGTAGACAGCAGTGTCCGCGACACAAAGTCTCTCGTGCTCCGTTGTATGTGTTGTTTCATTTCTTCATCCTCGGTTTCTGACTTAGGTTGTTCTTGTTCGATGCCACTCTCCGACGTTTCGCTGCTTCCTTGTTGCAGCTCCGAGACGGGACCACGACCATGTTGCAGACCACTGAGCTCTTGTGCCATGAACACCTCTTCCACGGTCATCGGCTTGGCGAGAAGTTCGGTTGTCAATGCCGCTGCGAGTTTTTCCTCGACTGAAGATGCTGCTGCTGTACCTGCTGGATCGGAGGTGGGTGGACTAGTACTAGCCAGTCCCGCAGCAATCACCACTCCCGCTGCAATCTGCTCCGGCTGCAAGTGGTCACCTTCCGGGAACCGCTCGCGGACGCCGGTTAGCATGGCGCTGAGGGTTGGAACGCCGGAATGATCAAGAGCAGTATCCGTACTGCTAGTACCGATTTCCCCTGCAAGAAGTTTTCCTGCACAGGCGACCTGGCTGACCATGCAAAGCAGCCCGGTTCGGACAGCCGCCTGGGAGGAATGTTCGTCTTGTTCTTCTGCGGTTGTACTAAACGCCTTGGATAACCACTGCGGCAACAGATCTTGCTCCTGGGGCGGGTGCAGATGCTCCATTGAGGACAGAAAATCCGGATCAGCAAGATGACGAGAGGTCTTCGCAAGGAGAAAGCTACTGGCACTTGTACCAGGTTCTCGCTCGGCTTCGGGAACAACGTCGTGGTAATCCCTGTACGCCCCCGCCAATTCCATGTGGAGCGCATCCCTCGCCACTTGGGCCGCACAGTATCCACAGTAAATTTCCCGCACACGTACAAACGCAATCTCTGCATGACAAAACTGGGCTTCGATCGTAGTTTAGCATCACAAGTGTCACACCCCAAATTGGTGAAATTTGTGATGCACTTTGTACATGTACGGAAAATTTGTATTGCATACACAGGGGCCGAACTTCTTCTCGAAAACGCATTTTAAAGCAGTCATCGGACTCCTCCACGAAAGGCTTTCAGTGGCGGTGCGCAAATTTGTGTACATGCTAATACTCCCGAGCAGCTCCTCCTCCATTTCTGCGTCAGGCGCGGCGCCGGACGCCAGCGCGAAGTCGATTCCCCCAAGCAGTTCCGACATGAGCACTTCAGTGACCACGGGAACCAGCATCAAACCCGGCATTTCCATTGCCCCGCGCACCTGCTCCTCCGTGACCAAGCTATCAATCGCAACGTCCAGCGGGGTGCGCGCAAGACTGGTCAGCGCCGCCCCCAGATCGGCGTGCGGGACGTCAGAGAGCGCGCCGGTGAGAAGCTCCTTCAGGCAGGCTGCCTGCGACACCCCGCACACCAGGGCGACCTCGGTGATCTTCTTGGTCTCCTCGGGAAGAGAACTATGGACAAGGAGAATTTGATACCGTGGTGCTGTCGCCCATTTCGAATAACGAACAACTACACATGGCACTACTGCAAGATACAAAAGAAGCTTCTTCGGTTGACATTATTTGCGTCAAAAGCATTACAACAACATGACTTACCGGCCTTCAACAAGTTGCGGTAGAGTAACATCATTCCATGTAATGCGTTTTGTAAGTAGTCGGGACGACAGAGTACACGGTAACTTTTTTTCTATTCCATAACTAGCTTCCAGAAGATCCGTGGTCCCGCTCTCTGCGGCGGCTGCGATGCGGCTTTTGAACTGCAGTTTGGCCGCTTCCAGCACGTCCCTCTGGGCTCGCGGTCCCGGCTTTTCATCTGAGAGGGCGCGCAGACTGGAGGCTGAAAAAGCATGCATTTCCGGCTTTTTCATTCCAATTCCCTCCGGCAATGACGAGTTGTAGGCTCCTGTGCTCATCAAGGCATGCGTCGCCTGAGCCGCAGCAAAGTCAGAATCTTTGCCCAAGATCGCAGCAGCAGCTTCTTTGATGGCAACATCATGATCTTCGTCTTTTTTCTCATCATCGTCCTTTTCGAGAAAGGAAGCTGTGGAGGCCCCTGCTGCTGCAGCTTGTTCCGCGCTGGTGCTGCAGTCGTCACCAGTGTTTGCCAAGACGGAGGCTTCGTCCGCCATCGCAGGTTTGTAGTCGAGAGAAACGACGGAGCCGAGCGCCATCCCCGCGAGTTCCCCCGTCCAAAACATCTTGGCTTGCTGGCAATCACTAGACCCGCTGCACTTCTCCCGGAGAGTGTGAAGCAGATCAGAAGACGCGCGACCGCTGCTCAGCACCGTTTTCAGGCACTTGGCCTTCCCCGCAGTCAGCGAGCGGAAGACGAATCCGAATTCGTAGGTCAAATTCTCAGAGTCCGGATCTTTCACGCATTGCGCACTGTACAACGGCTTCGACTCCACGAATACATCGAAGTTGGTTGTCGTCAGAGAAAAAAACGCCTTCAAGGCCTCCTTCACGGGTGTCTCCAGAGCGTTGAGAATCATGTTTGTCGGATCTTGCGGTGGTACTGTGTGTGTGCCGATCGAATACCCGGGCTGCTCCCCGCATTTTGTCACACTCATTGTGCCTGGAAAGGACACCTTGACGGATCCGTGCAGTTGGTATTGGTCGTCGTTTGCCCCCGCGCACTGCTGCTCCGTTTTCGACACGGGTAAGACATTCGCTGTGTAGTGCTTCGTGAAGCCGGCGGTCCCCACGTTCCCGCTCACACCGTACTGGCAAAGCACGTTCTTTGCCGTTTCGAACCCCGCGCACCCGAGCTCCGAAGACTCGCCCCAGATGACCTGGGTGTAATGTCCGATGGCGCCGCCAGTGTTATCGTCGGCGTGCAGGGCTGCGCCCTTCCCCAGGGCAGCTGCTTCGTTGGTCCACGCACCGACTGGGGTGGTGATGCCGCTCGTGCTCAAGGAGCTCACTGTGACACTAAGATCAGACACGCTCCCAACCGGCCAACCCTGGGTGTACACGATTTCGTCCTCGTACCACATCTTCGTCGCCCGCCCCCAGGTCGCCGGGTTCAAATCATTATCACCGCCAAACCCAAAAGCGATGTTCTCGCCGAAACTCCCCGTGAATCCGAATTTGTTCTGTCTGGTAGATTTCGGGGAGTGGTAGCTGTCGGACGCGGGAAAACCGCACATGACTCTCGCCGGGTCGTTGCATTGCGCGTACTGCGCACTGTTCGTCGCCAAGTCTTCGTTCCACACGAGGGGCGGGGCGTTGTGCAGACAGCGGTACAGGTTGTGCAGCAAAAGGGTTTCGCGCCACTCTTCCGGCGCCGCTTGGGAGATCACGGATTTAGTAGTGCCCGGGCTGGTAATGCCGCCGGTGGCGCCGTCAACAACAGCAGGAAGATCTTCTTCCGTATCGCCCCCATCGCCATCTTCTTGTCCCCCCGCCACATCTGGTTCTACTCCCTCCTCAGCTGGCGTTTGCTCCGGCGCTTCCGTTTCTACTTCATCTTCGTGCGGTGACGTTCCGTCCTCGGGCGAAGATTCATCATCCGGACTTTGTGGTTCCTCTGTTTGCTGTTCCGCTTCACCAGGAGGAGCACCCGCTGCACCATCACCACCATCCGCTTCAACCTCTTCCTCCTCTTTCGAGCCTCCCCATGGAAGAGGGCCGTCAAAAGAGTCAAATGCGGCAGCAGCTGCTTCGTTTGCCGCCTGAAAGAGGTTTTCCGCATGCGAGAGAGAGTCGAGAATCCAGCTGGAAAGCTGTTTTTCAATCTTGTCCGTTTGCCGCACGAGCCAGGCTGGCGCGCCGCCCAGCGTGGTCGCCCGCGTCAGGAGTTCCATCACGCAGTAGGGGTTGTGCGTCACGCCTGCTCTTGCGCACTGGGCCGCTGTCTCGGTGTCGTCAGAAGCGAAACTGCCCGTCGCGGTCACCAAATTGTCAATCATTCCGTCATCCACGGTAACGGAGCCGGGGCTGTGAAGCATCAAATCAGCCTATGCATTGCAAAAGCACAGCTATCGCTATCGTACCGGTTGTACAGCGCCTACCTGCTAGTAGTTCTAGACCTTAGGTTCTTGCGTGATACAGTCACAAAAAATTATCAATTACCTTATAATCGAAATTGTTCTGGGAGTGAGACAAAAGATCTTGGCTGTGCACATCATGATGCTGCGGGGCAGCAATTACCAGTACGACTGCGATACTTGTTCTTGTTTTGCGATTGATACATCAGTCACATCGACGAGGCCAGCTTCAACTTCGGATTGGAGCTCTGCGGCCACTTCCTCAGGTGGGGTGCCGAATGGTGGCGGCGGGCCGCCGTCCACGATTTCCGGAGGGGGGTGATCGCCCAGGCTTCCGCCCTCGCCCGGACCACCTGCGGCCGGTTCGCCCGCATCAGCCGGTTCGCCCGCATCAGCCGGTTCGCCCGCATCAGCCGGCTCGCCCGCATCGGCCGGTTCGCCCGCATCAGCCGGTTCGCCCGCATCAGCCGGCTCGCCCGCATCGGCCGGTTCGCCCGCATCGGCCGGTTCGCTCGCAGCCGGTTCGCCCGCGGCCGGTTCGCCTTCAGCCGGTGGCCCATCGCCGTCGGCCGGTGACTGGCTGCCCGCCGGTTCCCCGTCAGCTGGTTCGCCTTCCGGCTTGTGATTCGGGGAATCAACCACACTGTCGTCCTTGTCCTTCGACCCTTGGTCACAAGGATTGAATTTCTCTTGCATCTGAAGCACACTAGTGGCTGATGTTGCCACTCCAGAAGTTTCGCCCATTGGTTCCCTCGCCTGTTGCATGATCGGAGATTTTGTAACGGAGCTGCTTTTCAGACTCCTCTCTCGTTCCTGGTTTTTCCTAATCTTCGTGGAGGTAAGCGAGCGTCTGAGTTCGCGACCTGCTGCTTGCGTCGTGTCATCATCCTTCCTGCTCCGAGCGGGTGTTCGCGACACGCTTTGCTGGTGGAGTTTTTGAGAGAGTTGTAAACCGGACGCAGCATCATGACCAGCGTTGTTGAGAAGGAGAACAAGGGCAAGGGGGAAAAGCGCCGTCGCTCCTTGCTTGCGGGGAAAGCGCAGTGCCCGGTGATCTGCCCACTCCGCCTTCGACTGTTGCGACACGGCGCAAGGCATTGTTGTCCCCTGCGGCTCCGACATTGTGCTTTTGTGGGTGAACGAAAAACGACGTGGACAAAGATCAAATTGATAAATTATCGAAGGGGTACAGGTACTAGAAGTTGCACTTTATTAACTTTCTAAATCTTATCTCCCGTTCGAAATATGCTTTCGTGTTGAAGGGGATGATCTAGCTTTGGCACATCACCACGTGTGTCGTTGACAAGAGTCGTGGATATGCTAATCGTATGGAAACCTGGAAAATGGTTTCGTGATATTGCATTCCAAATAAAATTCCGTTCGAGTCACACAGTGAGATTTTTACTTCCAGCTTTCGTCGAGATTACACCAGGTGGAATTCATGCTAGTCGCCGACGAGGATGCTGGAGGAGGACGTATCTTCACGCAGTACAACTAGTACGGGTATTACAGTACGATGAAAAACGAAGCACTACAGAAACAACTGTCATTGCCTGGCGAACGACGACGCGTAGAAGGAACGAACGAAAAAACGATAGATGAAGGACGATCAAAGCTGCACGGACAAGAGCAAGACAAAAACAGACTACAGGCTTTTTACTTGTTTCTAGAGCCAGAACTTTCATTTTCGAAACGAAATAGAGATAGACGCTAAGTGTGCACGATAAAATGAAATTCGTCCACCTCGCGGGGATGCGGCTGTGTCAAGACCCATATCCTGCGACGCCTCCAGCGAAGAAAAAACCAAAACGAGAATCACAGTGGACGAGTACACTGTAACTATTAAAGATCAGATCTTTGATAATATCTGTTCCGTCTAAAAAGGCATAATAGAAAAAATTTTTCCGCAATTGCATTTCTTGTTCTTCTTGTTGCAGAAAACATAACATCTGCAGCAACAGCGCAAATTGATCTCACCATGGGACAAACTTCTAAAACTAAACACAAGCCAAAAATTCGAGGCTTCAGCATCTCTTTCGCCCTAGTAAAACTTTTCTATTTCTTCTCAAAGGAAACGATCTGTGCAGCCGGTGTCGAACTACCTTTCGCAGCATCTCCAGCAGCAGCACCTGATTCAAGACCTAGACCTTCCCCACTTACGGCAGCATTTCCCGCCACCGTTGAAGATGACAGTGGTGCGCTTTGCAGGGTTGACGAAGTGATGAAATTTTTGTTCCCAAAACTTGCCGTGCTCATGTCGTAAGAAATCAGTGGTCTCTGCTTTTTGTTTTGCTCGTACTGGATTTTTCTTTCCATTTCGTCAAAAGGAGTGCCAGTGGTCGTAGTGCCCTCTCCAGCTGTGCCAGTCTCTGTGGCTGCTCCAGCTCCCGTGTGGACGAAACTGTTTCTGTAGTTGGCCCCAGCGGATCGACGTGGTGTTCCAGCACCGCTGCCGTCATTGTCGTAGTTGAGAGGCACAAGCGAAATCGAAGTTGTGCAAGAGACTATCACCGCAAGCGCCAGGAGGGTCAGCACCAGCATGACGGAGACGAGGATCAAAGCCAACAGCAGAGAGCTCATCTTCTTTGGCGGCTCACTTTCGTTGGGGTTGTTGTTGGTCGGGTCGTTTACGTCTTTCATCTCCACTTCGCTCTTGTCGCTGGAATCTGTAGTCCCTCGTTGTCCTCGTCCAAACCACGTTCTTCTTGTGGAATCTTGTTTTTCATTTTCAGACGAAGACCCCAAAAGGGCTTCAGTCGAGGGTCGTGTTTGTGGTTCATCGTCTGGGTGAAAAATACTGCTTCCACCTCTTGTCCCGCCACCGCTTGTTGTTGTTCCGTGTCCGTTGTTACTGAACTGCGCTGGGTGTAGAGTATTTTGATCAGTCTTATCCACTGACACTGTGGCTCCTGATTCTGTGGTCGTACTACTGTTATAATTCCGGTCGAGCGGTTCTTCGTTCCTTGTTGCCGCGTCGGATATAATTCTTGCGGTACCATGCAGGTTCCTCGCAGGTGCTGCATCTGTTGACGCACCTCCATCGGACAACATCCAAGGTGACTCTTCAGAAGTAGGCCTCGAGGTGGTACTAGACGTAGTTCGTGTGGTTGGAGGTTCATCTGCTTCTGGTACTGGTTGTGGCTCTCCTGCTTGCGCCGGATCCGTGCCATAATTGGCAGTTGCCATTCCACGCAGATCTCCAGGAATACCAGGTCCTGGCTTTTCCTCTTCACCCTGAGGGTAAAATCCAAGTTGCCCTGCAGGTCTAATTGGACCGCGTTGAGAATTTGCTGCTCCCTGCTCGCTATGCATTGCAAATATGTCTGGGTCTGGAAACTTGTGATGCTAAGTGGCGATGATTGAGCATACTCCTGAGAGCAGCCAAACATGCCAAATTTTCAGGACGCTTCCTCATGTGTAATTCGCATGATAAACTGCGTTTTTGCATGACAAAGAATTCGCGCTTCCGCTTTTGTCGGTCACGCAATACAGATTTCATAGGAGTGCAAAACACGCAATACAGATTTCAATTTTTCCAAACCCAAACACATTTGCAGTTGATACTCGAGGTCCACGCTCGACCGTTGGAACGCTGCGCACACACTATACCGGTCTTTCACAAAACGATTGTATTCCGCCCATTCTATAAAGCCGCTTGCTGTACCGTCCAAGATACCATCCACACACCGGAATAAATCCTCCGCAAACTCCATTTGCGTCTCAAAGTCGTTAGTTCCGTCGCTTATGTTTCCGAACGCGTTGGCGCCGCCGTCCCGGAACTCAGACAAAGAAATTTTGCTCCCATCAAAATCCCATAGCGCCAGTGCTGCAAAGTCCGGCAACGGTTCAGGCAATCGGGTTTCCATGTCGGTTATTCTCAGTGCGACGCGGCTTCCACTGTTATGATCATACGCGAGGCTCTTGCAGAGACAGGCACGGTGGAAATGTCCGTTTGCGTCTCTCACGGTCCCTCCCGCCACCCAGTAGGTCAGTGCGCCGTATTCTTGTTTGTTCAAATACCCGCGAGCATTGTCTTCGGTTTGTGGATCGTCCAGCGCATTGAAGACTCCGATCGTTTCATGTCCATACGCTTTCTCCCACTCCGAAGCCTCTATTCTGCCGTCGGCGTGGTTGACTGAAGTGCTGATGCTGTCCCACGGAACCGGTCCCTCAGCTAAAATTCTGTCGCGAAACGACTTCGGATCGGGGAGAGATTGGATAGCAAGCTCCACTCGAAACGACTTCGGAATTCTGTCGCGAAACGACTTCGGATCCACCAGAGAACGGGTTTGTTGCTGTGCAGCTATTTGGTCAACACCAGAGCCACCAGCTGCTGTCTTTCCATTTTCCACTCCTGCCTGCGCTGCATGGTCAAGCTTTTGCAGTGCCGAAGATGGTTGCTGGCTCGATGATGAAGATGCGTTGCTACTTCCAAAGACTCGTCTTGTGCGAGCGAGCAACGACTGTTTTTTAGACTTCTTCCTGTGTGCCCGCCGAAGATGTCGTGTTTGCAACTGCTGCTCGTCAGGGGAACCTGAACGGCCATCGGGAGGGAGATCCTGATGATCATGATGTCGCTCGCGGTCGTGCTCATTCCAAATCTGGACTGCACTCTTGTTCCCTAGCTTACGTGCGCAAGCGATTCTGTTTCTGTCGACAAGAAAGATAACAACAAGGCTGTTGACAAAATTACGTTTGCCGGCCCAAACTACGGGCTGCTTACTTTTGATTTTCAAGAAGACCATAGTTTGTTGAGATGAGCAAGATTTTCTCAGGCGCACGACCAGATAATTCAATTTACATACGTACGAGAAAATAAATGCTAATGGGGAACCATCCTGCTCCCGCATCCATTTTCAGTTTGGTGGAAGTGATCCAGTATATGCAAACTGCATCAGCTAGCTAGAAAATGGTGTAGAAACGCGGCAAATTATGCGGCCCAAGAGACCCAGACAGTGCTGCATTCATCTTTGTCTCATGCCGCAAAAATGTCGGTTATCAGAGTAGAGGACGAGAACTGAAATTGATAGGGAAAACGAAACTCAAACTTCGCACGAGGGAGTGCCGAGCATACGGACGATTTACAAAAAAAACAAGCACGAATAGGAGATGTACGGACGAGAACGACAAGATGAACTACTTTTTGTGTGTTTGTGAAGACACAAAAAATGAGATTTTCTACCACGCGCACGGATACAAGAACCAACTAACACTCCTAGCTAGGTAGGGCTATAATGTTGCGAGACAAACATCTACTGCTCTTCATTTGACGAATAATTCCGATGGATTATCTGATGTGCTGCTGGAAAAGCGATCACAAAGAAGGGCGCTCTGGCACAACCGAGAAGTGAGCACGACCTTGATGGTCAACTTCTGAAGAGAACAAACACGACACCTGCTATGGAGGCCTACTGAGGATTGACGTTCACCTCTGATAGAGACGAGCAGGAAAGAAATGCTACCATATTTAACGTGATTGAAAAATCAAATTTTTCTTGAAGTGGCTTTATTATGTTGAGCGCTCCTTTTTCAGCCGGAGCCCGCATTTTTTTTCAAAAAAGACTCACTCACAGTCACACTCACCGCCCGCCTACAAAATAAAGAACTATCTGCTCATCACGATTTCCTCGGAGCAGGAGGAGCCACAGGAGGAACGACTACTTTCGGAACCTGCGGCTTCAAGGGCCGGAAATCCATTGCGTTAGGGATAATCGGCGCCGCATTTTCATCCTCGTCGCTCTCTAAACCCGCGCCGTCCAACCCCTTGGCCCAAAACCTTTATCAAACAAAAAAGTGTTAATGTCAACGGTTTTGACAGAATGCAGTCATGCATGACAGATTTTGCGTAATATGCATGCTATGCATGACAAATTTGGACACGTTTTGTGACGCGTCACTGCATCACAAATTCCGTTAACGTGAACACTTTTTTCTGTGATAACCTTCCCGGATCCACCATGGTTCCCAAATTGCTATAACTAGCCATCATGCTATTCGCCGCAGCACCGGGACCTCCGGCAGGGACACCGCCGAGGGCACCGGCATTGTTGAAACCACTTCCAGGCGGGAAAGCTGCAATTGACCGGTAGCTGGTTAAGCTGTTAGAAGCAGCTCCTGCAGGCATAGTGCCAGAAGGCGGAACTTGTACTTCCTGCAGCCTGGAAAAATTGTTTGTGGTTGGACTTGTTCCGCCGGACAAGTTGTACTGCGCACTCTGTTGTGTGCTTAGATCGTAGGAACCAATTTGCTGGCGCCCCGCTTGGAGATGTTCTCGGGTGTCGCCGTGTAACAATTCCCGCTGCCGCGCAAGGGCGCGAGTTCGGGCGGCTTCGTTTTCATCATCCTCGTCATCCTCCCCTAGCAGCTTCTGTTCGTAGCGCACTATGAACAGAATCACGGAAAAAACGCAACACAAGATGGCGATGGTGAAGATCGTGCAGAGGCACTTTTGGTTGCTGTTGTCAGTCGTTTCAACATCTTCTGCCGAGTCCTGATCGGAGTCTTCTACTCCGGCTTCCATTTGTTCGTCGTCCTCGTCCTCGTCACCGCAGAAAAAAGAGCGGCCGCATTCTTGCAGGCCTGTGCTGCCAGTGCCACTTACTGCCGAAGATGGATCATTTTCTGTGTAATTGTCTGCATTTCTTGCGCCAGCGCCGTTCGAGGCTGGTACCAGTTCAGCGCTCGCGCCCCCCATCGCAGGCCTGTTACTATTGGTCTTCCCAGCTCCTGCTGTATTTTGTTCAGACGGGGGCGATTGCGGCTTACCGGTCGCAGTAGACGTGGTGGCCGTATTGGTGATACTGGTGGTTCTTGGAAGTGTGGTAGCAGTTGTGCGTGGTATTTTTGTCGTGCTGCTTGTACTAGTGCTTGAAAATACTACGACCGATGTGGTGCTAATACTAATGCTTGGAATATCATTTTTTCCGGTGGTAAGAGTGGCGTTTGGAATTAATGTGGTGGTAGGTCCGCTTTGAATTATAAGAATTACGGTCGTGGTAGTTGTGTTTGTAGAAGTTGTGGTGGCTGCCGTCGAAGCTGTTCCTGTCGGTGTGGTCGCGGGAGCTACACTTGCCTTCGTTGTGCTGGTCGAGGCAACTTCTTCAGTCGTCGTTTCAGTCGGAGAGGTTGTGGAAACGAGATGGGCGGTAGTCACTGTCACGGGGTCGAGCTGCGTTGTAGAAGGCGTGAAAATAGTTGCTACAAGTCCGTTAGGCGTCGTGCTGCTGCTGCTTGTACTATCAACTTCTCCATCATAGCACCATAGTGGCGGCTCGTAGACAGTACCTGGCACAACTGGTGGTGAGGGTTGTACTTGTGGGATGGTCGTCTCTTCTTGGCCTGGTTCCGTTTGTGGAGCGACCGCCGTGGGCACCGGGCGCGGGGTCGTAGTAGAAGATATTGATATAGTGGGAGGACTATGACACCACCTCTTCAGTTCAGCTTCTTTCCTATGCATTGCAAAAGTATCGCTCTAATGTAGTACCAATACAGCCTGCATCTCTATATGCAAAAATCTTTTTCAAAACAAATTTATTAATATCGAAAAATGAAATCAATTTGTCATCGACTGACGATCGATCCTAAGAAACACGTAGATCACTGATGTCATGCAGTATTCATCTTGCAAGATGAATTACGTACGAAATTGCGCTCCTTTTGCCATGGATACCTCCAAATTTCCAGGATGTCGTATTCTGGAACGTTCAGGTGTGACACCGCGTCCGTGACATCGATGTTAAATTCGGCAAATATGTCGGAACTACCCGCGTCAGTCCCAAATATCGTGGACCACTCCGGATGGAGTGAAATCTTTCCGTCATCAGAGATCGCATCTTTCAGCAATTCCGGGTGGTGGAAAAATTTCCGCCGAAAGGCCAAGGGATCGGGCAGCCTGTAGTCGATGATTGCGTTTATCCTCTCCGTGTTCAGTAGCTCGGGTATAAGTAGTGGCAGCTTGATGTTATGGTCGTGCTCTTCTTTGCTCCTTTTGCGCTGGACGTGCTCTTGTTCTTTGTGCAGCAAAGACGAGAAAGTGTTAAATTCGGCATAGTCCAACACGGGTCCTGCTGTATCGATATGGTTGGAATCTATGGCGGGCTCGTGATGTTTATTTTCGGCGAAGGCCGAGCTGAGTTTGGTAGTTCGAGCTTCGCGTCTGCTCTATGGATGTGTCAGGATCGAAATCGACAAAATCGAAAAATTTGTGATGCATAAAATGCATGACGCGAAATACGTGTGTTGCAGAGCAGGCAAGTGAGGCCGATTGTAAGCCTGTTTGGGGTTATAGCTCGAGCTGCTAAACCGGCATGAGAGAACCAGCCTTCTTTGCCTACACAGCATTACAAACTGGATTTAGGCGCACCCAGAATTTGTCATGCGCCACTTAGAAACTGGGTCCGAACTGGAATCCATTTTATGCATGACAAATCATTTCGATTTTGTCAATTTTGATTCTGACACTTCCATATGCTCTTTCGTAGTAGTAGACCTGCTCTTGCAGCACGACCAGCAGAAGAAGAAGCCGCAGCTCCGGCCCCGCTACCTCGCAGCCTGTTCCGTGTGTAGAAGTAGTTGTTCCTCGCCCCATCTATTGTGCCATCCTGTCCACCGCGCCGAAGCCGAAGTAAACCTCCACCCGCTGTGCTTCCTGTTTCCTGTTTTCTACTTTCATTCTCCAAAAAAGCCACTGCATCGTCTACCGTCGTGGTTCTATCGTGATTTTTTGTTTCTTTGCGCCTCTCGGCATAATTGAAATTATTGTCGTTCTCCACAGCGAGGGCATTGTGGGCTACAAAGATGCCTGCCGGTTCTGCTGCCTCCACAGATTGACGTGCCAGCGAGGCCGAGAGAAACGCAAACACCGTCGTTCTCTTCGTATGAGCGAAGATAGAAGGAGGTGAGCCTGACATCATACTTTCAATTTAGGCTTTTTTTTTATCATGGTACCCTAATATCGCGCTCTTCTAGAACTACTGCACCAAGCATCCCGGGCCCGGACAGTAGAGAGTCGGTGCTTATTTGAGTATGAATTCATTTCGGGGTCGTGAGTACGTACCTGTAGGAATGAAAGCTACCTACTGAGTGGCTAGGATATGCGCAACACTACACACAGTACAAACCTGACATGTTCGGCAATAAACAGTGAGCTGATCAAAAAGTTCTTTCTGTTGCTGGCCTCCTAGTACTTCCGTTGGTTTCTCTTTCTAGTAAAAGCACGATGACGAAAAGAAAAATGACCACGGCGGAGGCGGAGCTGTACGACAAACCAAAAAACCACCAAAGCAGGGGATGAGTGACGATTACGATTCTTCTTCGGAACGATAAAGGTGGACAACGACCCGGATTATATTACTTCTTGTTGTTCGTCTATTTTCACTTACAACACGCTTGGACAAAAATTAACACGAAACGGTACGACAAAGCACTAGAACTTGTCGCAAGAACCGGTGGAAGCTGCATCATCTCCGCGTTGTTGTAGTTGATGCGCAACAAGTAGACTACACAACCACACCAACGATGGACGATACGAAGATAAGGTCAAAATAGAACCCTAAAACCATAAACCCGTTCAACCCTTCTAAACCCTTTTCGACGCTGGCGAAGGAACCGGGGCGGAAGCAGGAAGATGAATCAGGGGAGAAGAAGAACTGGATACCGCAACTGATCAGAGAGAGTGTGCACAAGAACGCATGGTAAGACCTAAAGATTCTATTTTAAGCAAACTACCCACATAGGACACCGGATGGCGTCATGCCCCAAACCACAAAAAACCTGCTTGGTGCCAGTAGGGCCCGGGGAAAGCAAGAGAGCAGCACGAGAAGGAAAGGTAAAATCTACTTTCAAAAAGCGCTAATAAAGCCTTGTGCTCTGATCCGTCCGGGTGTGCACTCCCTTTTGGTTCTAAAGCTTCAGCAGTGCTGAGAGCGCTCCGACCCTAAACCTCCTGACCAAAGCCAAAAGATCTACGTACGTATGCGCACGAGCAAGGCAGGAACATCGCCTGATGTGGACGATGTTCCTAAACTAAAAAACAAAAGAGCGACTCTCGGACCGGAGGTAGGCCTCACGGTAGTCGATGCGAGCGAAGGAAGGTAGGCCTCACGGTCCTCGATGGACGATACGAAGATAAGGTAAAACAAGAGTCTTTCACGAACTTTATTTGGCCTGTAGATAGAATAACGACGTCCGAAGCTGCAGAAACCGCAGTAGAGACAGGCAGCTGTCGGACGAGATCTAGAACACCTTCATGGCTCGGGCGAGGAGATGAGCTTGAGCATGAGGCCTTGAAGGTGGACATGGCTCAGAACACAATACTACCTCGTTCATTTGAAAAAATTGAGTAGATGTAGAACAAAGCGCTTCATATGTTTAAGTTTATGCAGAGCAACCTTGTAGTTATCTCCCGGGCGTAGCTCTACTCGAGAAAAGAAAAGGAAATCACTTCGCCCAACATCCGAAGATAATCCGTGCTGACCACTAGCTGCCCTCTTGCCCGAATTCCCGCGTCCAGGCTTCGTTTCGCGCGATTTCCGCAGGAGTATCCCGAAGAAATAAAGAACTCTACTTGATAGGTCGGGCGCGGCGGCGGCAGAGCCAAATGCAAAAAATCGTGTGTTGTACCGCATCAGGCACAGCATGCAAGCAGAATTAAGTGTAAGTCGAATGTTGATGAAAACAACTTTTTTATATGGGAAAATGATGCATAGCCGAGATTTATTGGACTTCCAGCGTCGTCCCCCCCATGAAGTAGAGACGACGTTCTCTTCTTGCGATACGCACCAACGGAGGGCTTCGTCTTTTCTACTGCGGCAAGGAAGGGATATTCACCGACAAAGAATGAAAAACTACTTACTTCTTCCACTACCACAACAAATTGAGGTTTTAGTTTTGAGCACGACTCGGTTCATTTGCACATCCACCTGGACAGAATATGTACTGTTTCTGTGCTTAACCTACCCCGCCCTGCACCAGCTGCTGCCCTTTTTACGAGTGTATTTGATCAGGGGTGTGGGGTCTAACCCCACAGCGTCTACGAGCACAGGTCGTAGACGCTGTGACCCCCCACAGCGTCTACGAGGTCAGGTCGTAGACGCTGTGACCCCCCACAGCGTCTACGAGGTCAGGTCGTAGACGCTGTGACCCCCCACAGCGTCTACGAGGTCAGGTCGTAGACGCTGTGACCCCCCACAGCGTCTACGAGGTCAGGTCGTAGACGCTGTGACCCCCCACAGCGTCTACGAGGTCAGGTCGTAGACGCTGTGACCCCCCACAGCGTCTACGAGGTCAGGTCGTAGACGCTGTGCCCCCCCACAGCGTCTACGAGGTCAGGTCGTAGACGCTGTGACCCCCCACAGCGTCTACGAGGTCAGGTCGTAGACGCTGTGACCCCCCACAGCGTCTACGAGGTCAGGTCGTAGACGCTGTGACCCCCCACAGCGTCTACGAGGTCAGGTCGTAGACGCTGTGACCCCCCACAGCGTCTACGAGGTCAGGTCGTAGACGCTGTGACCCCCCACAGCGTCTACGAGGTCAGGTCGTAGACGCTGTGACCCCCCACAGCGTCTACGAGGTCAGGTCGTAGACGCTGTGACCCCCCACAGCGTCTACGAGGTCAGGTCGTAGACGCTGTGACCCCCCACAGCGTCTACGAGGTCAGGTCGTAGACGCTGTGACCCCCCACAGCGTCTACGAGGTCAGGTCGTAGACGCTGTGACCCCCCACAGCGTCTACGAGGTCAGGTCGTAGACGCTGTGACCCCCCACAGCGTATACGAGGTCAGGTCGTAGACGCTGTGACCCCCCACAGCGTATACGAGGTCAGGTCGTAGACGCTGTGACCCCCCACAGCGTATACGAGGTCAGGTCGTAGACGCTGTGACCCCCCACAGCGTATACGAGGTCAGGTCGTAGACGCTGTGACCCCCCACAGCGTATACGAGGTCAGGTCGTAGACGCTGTGACCCCCCACAGCGTATACGAGGTCAGGTCGTAGACGCTGTGACCCCCCACAGCGTATACGAGGTCAGGTCGTAGACGCTGTGACCCCCCACAGCGTCTACGCCTGGCGGTCGAACCCGGATCCACCGGACCCGACACTGACGCCCAGCACCAGGGCGTGGAGCCCCGGACCCGCCGAGCCGCGAAATTTCAAAATTTTATTTTTATTCAGGTCCAAGCGATGGCCACAAATCAAACGCCCAGGCAATCACTAAACAAGAAGCCGCGATGTTCCATCTGATCTGCTCTCATCCCAAGACAAACCCCCGCGGACATGCTACAGAGCGCTGCTATTTTCTCTCAAACTTTGAGAATCCGCGAAATTTCAAAATTTTATTTTTTATTGTGTGTGGCAACCAAACATGCCAAACTTCCAACCTCATTGACAACACAATGCGACCACGCGCACTGTGTCGAATTGAAACAGACCAACACAAGTCCGCGAATTTTCTAAATTTTATTTTTATTGAAACCGAAAGTCCGCGAATTTTCAAAATTTTATTTTTATCGTTTTCTATTTTCGCGATCGTTCAACGAGTCTGATTCTGATCAGACAAAGTGGATTTTTGTAATCGCGGATCCGCGGTTACAAAAATCCGAGAAACTTTGTAATCGCAGATCCGCGATTACAAAAATCCGAGAAACTTTGTAATCGCGGATCCGCGATTACAAAAATCCGGGAAAATTTGTAATCGCGGATCCGCGATTACAAAAATCCGGGAAAATTTGTAATCGCGGATCCGCGATTACAAAAATCCGGGAAAATTTGTAATCGCGGATCCGCGATTACACAAATCTCGAAAATTTGTGAACTACCCAAACCAACACCGTAAACTACGGACTGCCCATGATTATCTCCACTATCTTCATGCCCATGCTCTATTCTTCATCGCCCATTAGATTTAGATTACCGGTAGTGCAGGCACAGTGGAGCTGCGGCGCACGTCTTTTTGAAATCGTGTGGTAGCAAGAAGTAGAGGTAGTTCCCCATCTTCTTCTCTTCGTAAATCCTGGAGGCTGGCGACCGGTTCCAGGAGCTCATCAGAAGCGATGTCCATGACCTCAAATGATTTGAATTTGTGATGCAAGGGACGAACAGCCCGTAGACTTCCGATGTGACGCAAGTAGGACACTAGACTACAAGCCAAATAGTACCTGGACCGCCTGCAAATCTTACGAGTTGCACTTGCACTAGGACCACTTAACATTAATCGCATCAACGAGAACTACAACTACTGACACCATGACTGCACACAGCAGATGAACGGCAAAAAAAAGAAAACCTTCATCGCCACACCGTTTCCGTCGTTTACGTCACACGGCGTCCACTTCGACTTCGGTTCGCCAGTTTTTGGATCTGGTATGGAAGGAGAGAAGAGATGTGTCGAGTCAGAGTCTCAAAATTGGCCTGTATCAAGCTTTAACAACTAGCTTCTCTGCGATTCCACCCCTGTGCATGGGCGTTAACAACAACTGAAACTGCTTTACTCAGCAACGCATGATAAGCATTCGCCGCCATGATGCAGCATATTTTGGACATGCAAAAACGGCATTTCAGCTAAGCCTTCATCTGCACTTTCGGTCGCCGACTCGTCATCAAAATCTCGAATTTCATACCCGTCACCACGACCTGCTTGAATTTCGCGCTGCGCATGCATTTATGAATCACCGCGAACAGGGCGTCTTTGCACAAAGTCCCCACGTCCGCTGCGGAAAAGCCCTCGGTTCGCTCGGCCAACAGCATCTTGTCCTGTTCTGACAGATTGTTCGGAGTGTCGCCAATTCCGATAGGTTATGGAGGTGGGTAAGGGAAGGTGCTCTACCGAAAGTAGAACTTCACAGACGGAGAATCGCTATTGTACTTGTCGTCGCAAATAACGCGGCGAAAATTGTAATTTGCAGTCACTGCATCACAAAAAAAGTGTAATTTCTAGCAGTACAAACTTCTGACGTTACTAGTACGCTTCGTTTGTGGAAAGCGAGAGGTAGAGTAATATCTTCCCGACCATAAATCGACCATATGCCGCCTTGCCGGAAGATCAGGAAGGGGGATGTAGATGCGCTTCTCGAACCTGCAGTTTTTTTTTTTATTTGTGATCGAGCAAAAGGAGGAAGGTCAATGATGTCAATGTCATGCACAATGTCGCATAAGTAACAAATTCATGTACACCCACCCACCGAATAAATCCTGAAACAGATGAAACTACGTACCGTCTTCGAATCGCGGAATCCAAGTCCCACGGGCAGTTTGTCGCCCCGAGCATCAATATTCCCGTCGTGTCGTTCCCCACTCCCTGCATTTGCACGAGAAATTCGGTTTTTATCCTCCGACTACTTTCCGATTCGCCGTCTCCTCGGCTTCCACACATCGAGTCAATCTCGTCGATGAAAATGCACGCCGGCGCCTGTTCTCGTGCGACGGTGAAGAGATTTTTCACCATCTTCTCCGACTCGCCCTGCCATTTGGAAACCAAATCAGACGAAGATAAGGAGAAAAACGTCGACTCTGCCTCTGTCGCGACCGCTTTCGCCAAATGGGATTTCCCGGTGCCTGGTGGCCCGTAGAGTAAAATTCCCTTCCAGGGTTTTCTCTTCCCAGTGAATAACTGTGGGAATTTCACCGGGAGAATGACTGTTTCCTGCAACAACGATTTCGCCTGGTCCAAGCCCGCGATGTCGGTCCACCTGACGTTTGGCTTCTCCGTCACGATGGCACCCTCGAGGGATTTTTTCAGCTTTTCCACCTCGGTGTCGGACTGATCTGCGGCATTTCCGTTCGCGGTGTTGGGTTTCCTGACCTGCTGCGAAGAGGACGATGAGCTGGAGCTGGATTGCTTCGACGACCCAGTTGCAGAATTCCCAGACCCGGCGTCTGTGTCCATCTCATCGGTTAGTTCCCCCTTTATCACCTTCTTTATCTTTTCGGCCCGCTCCATCATTAACTGGATATCAAATGCAAAAGTGTCTGGGTCTGGAAACTTGTGATGCTAAAATGTGACTGGTGGGCGGACTGCAATACGCAGCCAAGCATGACAAATTTTTCAACTACTGCTGTGTTTCGTTTTCCGAGTGGCAAACTGCGTTTTTGCGTGACAGGCAAGAGGCTACTTTCCTGCTCATGCATTACAGATTTATGAGTCATGCCAGACAAGGAAGCATGACAAACTTGCATTCTTCCAGACCCAGACATATTTGCAATCAATACTGCACCTGCTGCTTCAGCTTCGTCCGCATAGTCGGGTTGTTTTCGTATTTGAGTATCCTGTGCAAAAGAATCGTACTTGTAGTAATTGCATTTATGCATTACCAATCTCTTTCTCAAGGTAAATCAGCATTTACAAATTCAATTTGTAATGCTGGGCCAATTTGTAATGCATTTATACAAGTTGTACGATCCTTTTGCAGTGCATATTGAGAACGAACTGCCAATTCTCGAGCGCCGTGATGTAAGCGTGCAGCACGTCGTTCCATTTTCCCCCCGCTGAGGCATTGTTGGATGGAGTGGAATCCGGTTGCTGCTCGGTGACCCTCTTATCCGCTTCAGAAGCCTGGTTGTCCAGCTCGGCGGCTTTGTTACTCAGATCGATCGCACGCTGGAGCGATTGCTGGTAATTCATGGTTGATTTGTACTACCACTTCCTCGAGTGGTCAACGTAGAAGTTGTGGACAAGTATTAGTCAAGTTGTGAAGTAGATTTTGCGCGAAAGTGCGTGACGGATTTGAGTGTCGTATTAAAGGTGAGCAAGATAAAGCTCTTCGTCCGGATCGTACTCCTTCTACCACAAAGCTGATTGCTACCACGACGGCCCCCTTTCAAATTGAATTGTACACTTCAAAAGTACTTACAGCTTGTTATGTTCTATATGTTTCATCTGTTCTAGGTACAATCCTAGCACAACCTGAACCAGTCTGCCTCGTCACGCGAGTTGATCACCCCTACCATGCTCCTGTAATATCGTTGCTTCACAACAACTACAAATCATCATTCGGCGCAGCCCACTCATGAAGTTAGTTACCGCGTCGTGCACCCAACCCCAGCAGCATCAAGTAGAACAAAAGTGCTGGTGACGCTAGAACATGCGGAAGTCGTTGCTAGCTGCTTGTAATCAGTGCCCTGGAGGAGCAGCACTAACTTGCTCCTCCGTGCGTTGTGGCACTACTTCGTTGTGGTACTACTCCAGTGGAGCTTCTTGTCGTGTCATCTTTCATTGATTATGTACAGGAGTAGTTCTTGCGGGAAACGGAAACGCCGTGCTCATGTTGATTGTTCTTTCATTTACGTGCGGCTGCATGTACAACAAATCTGTCTACAGGTGCATTGAAACATCGATGGGTTGTAAAATTGAAAGAAAAAGCCCCCACAGGAAGCACTTCATATCGAAGCATAATTGACCCCCGTGTCTTGCTTCGCCGCACTTCTTGGAAGCTGCGAGAACGCGTTGCAAGATGAGTTTTCTGCTCCATTCAAAATCAAAAAATAAAACTTGCCACTCCTGTGAATTCGAAAAAATCTACCACAGCTAGAGCTAGATACATACCTCTAGGTACTAGCGTAAAACTAAAACAAAGTCGAAGTAGAGTATCTTGAGTAAAACTGAAACAAAGAAGAGCATCGCATGTGCTAATGCTGTGATTTGTCGTAACTTATTCTGCTGTTCTGCGCTTGCTTGCGGTTAGCTTAAAACATAAACTTAAACAAGACTGATAAAATTAACTTGACTCAGACTTCATCTACGTCGCTGGAGCCTCCTGTAACGTTTTCACTTCGTCGCCGGAAGTTGATTGGAGGTCTTCTTCCTCACCGGTCGTGGCACTACTATCATTCCCAACACCACCACCCCCTCCCCTCCTGGTCTTTTCATCGGCCAGCAAATCGGTGTCTGTATCCACCACTGCTTTCTCTACACCCGCTTGCGTTTCCTTCATGTTATCCAGTAGTTGCTTTTTCAACAATTCCTCCGCTTCTCGCTCATCCGGGAAGTTGTTCCAGAAATAATCCAACCCCCGAAACGCCGCCTTCGTCGCCAAGGCCGGCTGGTGCTCGGTTGCGTATAACGGTGCTTTTCCCCACCTACACAACCGTGATGGGCAGGAGATTTGCATGTGCACGGCGTCTTCCTTCGACTCTAGCATCTCCATTTTCTTATCCACAGAAGTAAATTTCCCGAACACGTACAAATGCAGACGCTTCGTTCGTTCGTTCGTTCGTATGGATCGGCTCTGCCGACCGGGTGACCCATCGCCTTGCATATAAATGACCGACATAGGCGATCCCCGTTACGGGACATACATATTGGCCGCACGGAAGGGCCCTAGGCACTACATACATAGTTCATCCTAGCGCCTACCACTTCGGTCGGGACTAAGTCAGCCTGGTCCTGGGGGTTCACAGCGCACTAGCCATCTGCTAGCATAAACAGACTGGGTTTTGCAAACTGTAACTGATCTAACATCTCATAACAGTGAGGCCATCATACGGGTGCGCTAAAACGAGCTCGGGGCGCTCCGTACGGACGGGAGCCTTTCGACGCGGCGCACACTCTCCTGTAGAGTTTTACGCGGAACACGGATGGGCCGCGCACGCAACTCAGTCGAGGAGGACACACGCTCCCTCAATAATCGAGGTGGTAGTCACTCACGGCGGCTGGCCTGTCTGAAAACGGTACTCCCCACCTCCCATCTTCCCGGTTCGTCAATGACTCTGGCAAGCCATGTTACTTAGACTCCCCGCGCATGCAAATATGGGACGGCGGGGGGGTTTTAAAAAGAGCTCTCGCCGTCCTTGATCTACTATAAAAGAAAAAGCCCTATAATTTCGGCGAGGCTGTTTAGTTATTCGCTAGCTGATGGCCTCCTGTATAGTAATGGTCTCCCTTTTCTCCTCCTTTCCCCTTTCTCAATTTAACTCGCCTGCATCCTCCTGCTAATTTAACTCGCCTCCCCATTTATCTCGCTGAAAACTCCGTCCTCAATTTCACTCTCCTGCCAATCTAACCCGCGACGCCAACGGCTTTACTTCGGCGCATGGTGTGAAATCTTCGCGGCTTCTCTTCTCAGCTCCTCGACCTCTGCGCAGCGTTTTGCTCTGTTACCTTTTCTTCCGTCGTCCAGCATGACAAAACTTGCCTTCAATCCTAGTCCAGCATGACAAGTTGGACACTGCAAGTTGGCGAAATTTGTCATGCATTTTGTACATGTACAGAAAATTTGTATTGCATACTTCTCAAACGGGTTCAACTTCGGAATCGACGCATCCCGAATTTTCAAGCTCAAGAAATCCGCTATCCCACGAAAAAACTGTTTCACTGTGATGACTTTGCAGGATCTGCATCACAAGTTTGCTACACATGACACTGAAAATTTGTCATGCGCGCTTCCCAAGGGAATACACGCTTGAAAATTCAATGACTTGCAGGTGTAGCAAGACAAAGAGTTTTGTGTTCCATTTTCTGCATCACAGCTTCACAGTGAAACAGTTTCTTCTTGCGATATCCGCGCACACCATCATCTCCCGGTCTAAGTGGCCGAATCTCGTTTCATCCAATTTTTCCTGATTGAAATACAACGCCGAGGTTTTCCCGAAGTCCTGCAACTGACACTCCATCACCTTGCTACTGTAGTAGAGAAAATTCGTGGTTAATTTTTCCGGAATGTCCAGCGCCTCGTCGTAGGAACCGTGCAATACAAAGTGCTTTGGGAAGGATTTTTTGTCCGCGCCGGAGCTGGACGAAATCTGCGGTTGGCAGAGCGGTCTTTTCTCCAACTTTTTCGCCATCGCGGGGGGAACTTTGTAACCGATGGCCGGGTCGAAAAAGTCGTAGGAGACGACGATGATCCCAGTCAAGTCGGACTGGATCATTTCTTCACAGGCTAACCGGTACGCCATCGCGCCGCCGCCGGAAAATCCAAGGACGAAGACTTCCGGTTTGGTGATTTTCCCATTCGACATGAACGTGAGGAGGTCCTGGCTGTGCTGAATCAGTGCTATCATCGCCTCAGCGTCGGATGGGTAGGAATCAAAATCCGGAACTTCCGCGTCGTCTGGGGTTTGGTCTTGGTTGGAATTTAATTTTTCCGCGGCTTGTCGTTCTTGTTCTTCCACATTTTCCCCACTACTTCCCATTTGCAGGAACAGCGCAGGAGGTCCACCTCCCGATTGCACTACCACCGTAGGTCCACCTCCCGCTTCTCCTTCCGCAGCTTGCCCTTCGTCGTCTGCTGCTGCTCCTTCTGCAGCTGCTGTTGCTGCTTCTGCGACTGTTGTATCAGCTGCAGCTTCATCTGCGGACGATTCTTTTACTTCCGGTGCACCAGCAGCCGGAGCTTTCTGTTCTTCAGGTGATTCTTCTGATGCGCCTTCAGGACCGGCAGCCGCTCCCTTTGTAGGTGCTGCAACTGGCTCCACACTGATATGGGGTTCTCAAGAGTTACATTCTCAACCGTTACATTGATTTGTGATGCAAAATGACCATAAGCCGCCACACAATCAAGGTGTTTCGCATGACAAATTCTCGAAGGGCTAAACACCACCTGAATCTGCTCCGAATTTGTAATGCAAAGCGCGCAATCTTCGCGCGTTCACTTTTGTTGTTCTTGCATGACAAATTCATGTAACAGTTGAGAATGTAACATTTGAGAATTCCATACCTGAACAGCCCATCCTCGTCATCCTCTGGGTCCTTCGGCGGTTTTTTCACTTCCAATATCAAATGCAAAAATGTCTCTGTCTGGAAGAATGCTGGAGTTTGTAATGCAGATTTTGCATCGCCCGTGAGGTCTGTGATGCATGCTCTAGCATCAGAGATGTTGCGAGGGCTTTCCGATGCTCATACCGCATGAGAAATGCCCTCTCCGCGTAGCAAATACTTATTACACCTCTTTTGCTGTTCATGCAATACAGATTTTCTGTAGAGTCCAAAGTTAGCATCACAAGTTGCATCCTTCCAGGGGACCCAGACATATTTGCATTTCATATCCAACGGATCCTCGCAAAACCCCTTCGCCCCTAGATCAGCGAAGGTTTCCCAGCAGGCCGCGGGCTCTACCAACCGGATGCCGTTGCCGGTGTCTTTTGGGAGGTCCTCCTTGTTGTTTGCCGATTCGTCTTCCGCCTTCGCTTGTTCTGGAGCACTTCCGGCTTTCGCTGTTTCTGCAGGACCTGGAGCCGCTTCATCCGCGGCTATCTCTGCTGTTGGCCAGCCTTTCTTGTCTTCTGAACCTGCTACTGCATCGTCCGTGCCTTCGACGGCAGTCGTGCCTGCTTCTTCGTCTTCACCCGATGAAGCTGCTGGTGGTACTACGGGCTCTTGGTTGAGTTGCAGAAGCGCCCCAGCCACTGCAGTGGCGCCGTCTTTGTCTTCAGGCGCTTGTCCTTCTGCTACTACTGCCCCTGGTGCACTTGCTCCCTCTGGACCGCCAGCTGCTTCTGACTGTTTCGGAGCGGCGGCGTCATCTGCTGCTGGTAATTTTTCAACATCTTCCTGCACTACTCCGGAGCTAGCAGTAGCGGCAGGAACAGTAGCCTCTGCTCCTGCTTCTTTTTTCTTCTTCCCCTTCGCTTTTTTCCGCATCATTCCGTACTGTTTATCCGCCAACGGGCAAATCACGATCACGCCCATGTTGTTTGCCACTTTCTGCGCGTCTAGCGCTTCTGATTTCGATCCGCAAAACGCGTACTCGTCGTGCTGTTGTAGCACGTCCCGCCCCGTGAACGCGAACAGAATCCCGTGGTGTAATTTTATCCCCAGGGAGGAAATGTCCGTTCCGTCAGAAAGCCACACCGGGGAATAGGCTCGGTATCTGACCTTCCGGTTCTTGTACTGAAATCGCCACTTCCCGCTCGGGACGTTTTGCATGATCGTTTCCACGTCGGAGGACACATCCGGATCGTTAGAATTCGTTAGTTGTGGGAACTCCGTGTCGTCTTCCTCTCCTAATTGCCCGAGAAAAATGTGATTGGAACCAACGCCATCGGCCCCGTTTTCGTCACTTCCGCCTTGTACTTTCGAAGCAGCAACGCTTTTCATGTCCGCTTCATCACCTAGTACCTCTCCAGTTTTCTCGCCCTCCTTCTGGATCTCCTCCCGCATCTTCATTACCCGTAACACCGAGAAAACCTCGCTTGAATTCCCGTAATGATCATCTCGGACGGATTCGATGTGTGTGATGTCTTCCCGCTTCATGTAGCCCAAGTCCAGAATCGGCACCCCTTCAGACTCAACTCCAGTCACAAACTGCTCGTAATTCTTCGGAATCCCCGAAAAACGGACAAACCGCGAAACTCGTTGGCTTTCATCGAGGACAACTGGTGCAGCGGTTGTTGTGGTGGTTGTAGTTGTCGGCGCAGGAGTGGTCGGTGGGTCGGTGACCTCCCCCTCGACCGGAGTACCGTGAAACGGATCTTCGACTTTCGTTGGGTCGAGTTCCTCTTGCTCTTTTGGTTCACCGGTATTTTCTGCAGCCGCGGCGGATTTGTCCTCTTCGGTACTCTCTTTCGCACCTTCGCTGTCCTCCGCTTCTCCCTCCTCTTCATCCGAATCGGGAATGCCGCCAAAAGGCCCTTCGAGCAACGTCAAGAGCTCCGCTTTCTCGTAGTCATCGCACTCCCCGGGTAATTCGACTGAAGACACCGCCAACGCCTTGTCGATTTTGAACATTTTGTCCGCTTTTTTCTTCTCATCAAGCTCTAATTTCTTCTTTTCCCCTATCAAGGAAAAAACACCCATCCCCATCCATTTTCTGCATGACAAATAGTTGGTTTTGTGCGGGCGTTGCATGACAAATTGGATGGGGATGAGTGTTTTTTCCTGGATATCCCCGTCTGCGGAACTACTGTCCACCACCTCCGCACACACCTCATACTTCGGGTCGCCTTTGAGTTTGTGGACTTTGATCAACTGATCTTTCACGGAATCATACAACTGCTGCCGTTTCATCGCGTAGCATCTCCTCTGCAAAAGTATCGTACCCGTATGGCAATCATGCAATACAATTTTTTGTCTTATAGGTGAATCCGCATTACAAATTTCATGTCTCATGCTGAGGAAATTTGTAATGCATGTCCATGCATTTCAACGAGTACCAAATATAGCCGCCGGGGCGGGGGTAGTGAGGTCGTGGGCGTTTTTTTGCCGGCCGCAGCCTTGGCCGCGGCTTTGCTTTTTATGGGCTCGCCATACCGCCGTGAGTAACGTTATGCCGGACGGTATGGCGGCCACTTGGGAAACGTCGCCAATTTTGGCAAATTCCCGAAATTCCTTTCCGAAAGCCAGCCCCCACGCTATGGGGCCGATCCGGGTGCCGCGGGGGGCGTCCAAAAAGCGAAGAAAAATCGGGCCCATAGCATGCGGATTGGCTTTGCGCGTCTGGAGCGCATTTTCTTTTTCGCGTTTTTATTTTTCACGCCGGCGCTTTTTGCAAAGCTTCCCAGGCTCTGAAACTGGCGAAAAGGCGGCCGCTTTCGCTGCCACCCAAAATGCTCCGAAATCACGGCCGTGCCATGCTGTTTCGCTGTTCTGATTTTGGGCGCGTTTTTTGCGCGTCCCTTTTTGGGCGCCCCAAACCGCCAGAAACTAAGGCGGTGGGCGCCTCAGAAGGGCGCCCCTTTTGCCGGCTCCCCTGCGTCGTTTTACCCAGCGGCGATCGATAGAATCCGCTGGCGATTCGGTGCCGACACAGCCAAAGCCGCTTGATAATTGAAAATATTTTTTGTCAAAAAACGCTTCCGGCCGCTTGAAAACTGCCGCTCGTTTTTCAGGGTAGCTGTCAAAAAAACTCCCTGGTTAGAACCGTTCGGTGACCTCACTACATACGATAACGATGCCTTTGCACTGCATATAGCAGACTTGCGGGATGCCGCTATCGTGCCCCAGTATGCACTATGGATTGTAAAAATGTCTGGGTCTGGAAGAATGGAAGGTCTGTCATGCTCTGCCAGCATGACCCCAAAGTATGTCATGCACGTTACCCAAGAGCCCCGTTTTTTTGTCATGCAGAAACGCAGTTTGTCATGCGGAAAAGGCAACACCTCGAAGCTCAGAAACTTGTCATGCTGAGCCAGCACTTGTGGCCGCCTCATGATACGCCAACCAGCGTCACAAGTTTCCAGACCCAGACATTTTTACAGTTGATATGCACTTCATGCAGTTGAAGTTCGTCGGCTCGATACCTTTCGTCCCACAAGACGGGCAGCAATCTTCGTAAGCGTTCATCGGGTATTCGCCACAGTCGGTTGCTTCGGAGATTTTCGCGACGAGGTTCTCCAATTCCTGCTTGTCGTCCGTTGTTTCACAGGGTGGGCACGTGAGCTTTTGAGTTCCGTCTTTCGAGGTGATGGTGGTGGAGCCAGTAGTAGTGCCAGCGGGTGAAGCAGGAGCTCCTGAGGTTTTTTCATTCGGAGGGGGAACTCCTCCTGCTGCTGCTGCTGCGTCGGGTTTACCTGCGCCAGCTGCTCCTGCTGCTGCGTCACCGCCCTCAGCTGCTCCTGCAACTGCTGCTTCATCTCCGCCTGTCGCACCAGCTGTACCCTCCGCTCCTGCAGCCGCCGTAGCGCTACTCGTATTCATCTTCGCCGTGCCGTTACTATTCACGGGACCAACACCTGTTCCTGCAGTCGCATTCACCGCTCCAGCACCGAGATCACCCTCGTCATCCTCCATCTCCCCTTTGTCCTCCGCAGAAGTGAAATTCGCCAGCGAAACCCCCTGATTGTTCATGATTTCCTCCTGCGTTGCCGGTAGAATTTTTTTCTCCGCCGCCGGGGCTTCAAACATCGTGATTTCCGGCGTGTTATCAAGTGCAAAAGTATCGCACTAGTAGTAGAAATCACATCACAAGTTTGGTCAGTATGAAAGATGCAAGTTGTCATGCTGCTTAGCGTACACTGATAGATCTGTCATGCATGATTGCCATTATTAGTACGAGCACGATTATACTTTTGCAATGCATACGTGTTCGGCACTTTCCCGTTTAATTTCTGCTTAACCTGCTCCTTCTCCAAACACTTCGAATTTTCAAAATCCGCAAACGCCGTCCCCGCGGGGCAGGAGACGCACTTATCCCCCGGCTCGCCCTGTTCCGTCGAGGGGCACTGTTTCCCGACCGCGGGCTCCCCTCCTCCCTCGCAATTGCAAACTTGGTCGACACACACCGCTTTTTCTGTGTTTGGGAAAAGTTCAACCGTGGATTCCGGGCAGTAGCTGTGGATCGGGGAAGCGTCTTTCGCTTTCTGCATCGCGGCCGCCTTCTCTTTCTTGGACAGGGTGGAGGTACCCGAGGGTTTGTCATTTTTGTCTCCTGGTGCAGCTTCATCTTTTCCTGGTGATAGAGAGGCTCCAGCCGATGGCATTCCCGGTAGAGTTGGTAAAATCTTGATCGTGTTCAAAGTCCGGTATGGCTCACCGTTGTAGAGTAAAGCATTCGCATATCCACAGAAAAAACCCCATCCCCATCCATGTTTTGCATGACAAACATAGAATTTGATACGTGTTTTGCATGACAAATTGGATGTGCATGGGTGTTTTTTCCTGGATATCGCAGTTCTCAACAGATTTTCCTCCTGCCCCGGCTGGATCGACACCGCTGCACTCGTAGTTGCACCAGATGCCATCTTCCCGCTATCGACGAGAAACGGCACTGTCACTTCCGATAACACTTCCACGTTTTCGCTTCCGAGCAGTTTCACCTTCACCGGCACGTCGTCCGTTGCCTCTGCTTGGATTCGCTGCTTCTTGTGCCTTGTGCGTTTTGTTTCTTTCGACGTTCCGAAAAGCAGCTGCACCTCCTCCGATGCTTTTTGTTTAGCCTTATTTGTAGCTGCATCCACTGCGCCAGCACCCGTTGAGTTATCATCCTCCTTCGTCTGCTTCAACTCAAAAGGCGCGGTGATGATGTTGTTCCCTAATTTTGCAGCGTCGAATTCCGGCTTCTTCTTCACCTCATCCGGAATTGTGTTCAACAGCCAAACCGGCTGAATCGGTGAGTCGCCGAACTTTTGAAAAATGGTGTCTTTGAAATGATTTGCCAGTGCCGGGTGGCAGGTTACCGCCGCTATGGAGTTCTCAAATGTTACATGATTTGTCATGCTTAACTACCATTATCATCTACACGATCAAGCTGCTCTGCATGACAAATCCTGGAGGGGCCAAACAGGCTGACAATCTGTGCCAAATCTGTCATGCAAGACGCGCAATGCCCCCCCTTTCATTTTTCCCATTCTTGCATCACAAATCCATGTAACAGTTGAGAATGTAACGTTTGAGAACGCCATAGCCGCGTAGCCGAGGTTCAAGAGCTTGGGGATCGCGCACGGGGCGAACTGCGGCCACGTAGCGGAAAGGGAATCTGATGTAGTCGTTGTAGCGAGATATGCATGTTGACAACCATGGTCACCAATACGATATTGAGCATGAGAAACCCCTTCGTCACACAAAAAATCTTCCAAAAAAGCACTATACCGAGCATCATCTGGATCTCCGTGGGCACGCTGTCAAACTTTTCTTCGTTGATCGTGCCAATCTGCCGCATCAGAGCGTACCGCACCGCTTTCGTCTGCAACGCCTTCAGCATGTCGGGCATGTCGAGTAAGTTCATCCAAAACCGATATTGCAGTGAATAAGGCCCCCACCCCCAAGTTTGCAAAAATTTGTGATGCGAAGTTTCCAAATGAAAACTTTTTGCTATGCATGAAAGGAGTGTGAATCTTTCTGATGCAGAGTGTAGGCGTGTATCGCATCGCTTGCATGACACGCGCCACTCTTGCTGGGATCTTTTGCAATTACAAATTTTTGCTATTCACGATGGGAAACCTGTGATGCTGATAGATGCAAGAGGGCAACTATTTCATTGGGAAAGGTTTGCAATACAAATGCTCCCAAGTTCGGGGGTGGGGGCATTTTTCACTGTAGTAACCGAACTTTCATCTTCATCGACTTCTGCACTAACTTGAACGCAGCGGGAGATGCACTTTCCGCATTTTGATTTTCCTCTTTTCCATTATTCCGATTTTTCATCGTTGCTCTGCCTTGCAAAAGCATCAAACTCGTCGAGTTCGACTGCGACTCACTGCCCTCCTCATACGCCTTCTGCATGACAGCCTCCGCTTTTGCGTGCGCAATGGAATTTTCCTCTGGTTCCGGCTGCGTCACGTTCTGCTTGGTATTTGGAATCTCCGGCTCCGGCATCGTGGCTGCTTTCACCGCCTGCGCCGACGATTTCGCGTGCGCGAGGTCTTCTTGCTTTTTGTACGCACTACTCGTCCCAGAAGATCCAAAACTAGCTTTCGCTTTGTACTCTTTCGTCGCGATCTTCGAATAGTCAAACGGCTGTTCCGGAGGCCCCCTTTTGCTTGAAGGATTATCCGCAGTAAATTTCCCGCACACGTACAGATGCGGTCTCCGCATGACAAAACATGGCTTCGATCCTGGTTCAGCATGACAAGTTTTACGCTCCAAATTGGTGAAATTTGTGATGCATCTTGCACATGTACGGGAAATTTGTATTGCATACGGATAGGAGAATTTCAGCTTCGGAATCACTGATTTCTCGCCGTTCCCCTCCGAGAACAAACTCGTTCCGGCTGGCGGCTCCGGCTTCAATTCTAGGGAGACCAGCCGGAGTTTCTGATATCTCGGGACCACTACACCGACCGCACGGGGGATTTCGTTAAGTGCGTTCCTGATCGCCGTGGAAATCGCGATGTTGCTGTACGCGTCCTTTCCGTCGAAAGCGAGGGGAAGTTCGATCTGTGGGAAGGTAATCTCCATGTCGAAGGAAGCTGCTTCGTCCCCGAAGTACTGGCAGAAGGATCGGTGGGGCGGGACGTTGTAGTGTCTGGGTGGTTTCAAAACGCTGTCGTCGTAGGGGGAGGATGATTTTTCATCGTCTTTGTCACCTCCTGCTGCAGGAGCAGGGTCTTGTCGGTCATAGGACTCTGTGCTGTCAAGAACTGAATACGATGTTTTTGCTGTCTGGATCAAACTAAGGTCGGTTTCTTCGCCCGCAGCTTCTGCTGCTGTAGCAGCACTCGCTGCGTCCTCTCCCGCTGCGTCTCCTGCATCAGAACCGAATGTACTACCTCCCTCCTTCGCGCTAGTCATCAACGCTTTCTCCGCGTTTTTCTGCTCCTTATCCTCGGCGTTCTCCCCTAGAACTCCGGATTCCAAGGCCGCATTCGGTGTATGCATTGCAAACGTATCGTACTAGTAGAAATTGCATCACAAATTAGCTTAGCAAGACAAATGTAATTTGTCATGCTGTTATAGCTTTGGAAGGAGGTTTGTCATGCACATCTGCAATCAGTACGAGTACGGTACTTTTGCAGTGCATACGGTGATTTCTTCAACGATTTCGCACTGCACTCCTCGCTCGTCCACTCCCCCGCCCAGTAACGGAGTAGAAACGACATTTTGCAGTTACACTCCGCCAAAGACGTATGAGAGTGCACAGCTCCACCTCCCCCTCATTTGTCATGCAAAACCCCAAATCCAACCGCTTCCCTCTGGCACTGTTAGCATGACAGATTCATCCGGAAGCCCAAACAGTACTACATAAGGCACGAAAAATTTGTCATGCACAGTTTCCATGTGTGCTGGTGTTTGTATTGCTGTTCATGTCAACATACAAATCAATGAGGGCGAGGGGGGGTTGTGCACTGTCGTAAGACGGGTCGTTCGGTGTGTCGCAGTACCGGATCTGCTCGATATCGTTTTTCTGCTTGTTAGAGGATATCATCGTGAAATCGCCGTTCTTCTCGATATTCTCGTCCTGCTTCCACATCATCAGCGCATCTTTCGAGATCGGACCAAGGCAAACGGGTTCCGCTTGGAGGTACTTGTCGTGGAAAACCTTTTGGTTGTTGGAAGAGGGGAGTTATCGTGTGCAAAAGTATCGTAGTTGTACTAATTACAATCATGCATGACATCAAACCTGGTTTCTTAGCAAATCAGCATTACAAATTCTATATGTAATGCAATTTATACGTAAATACGATATTTTTGCAATGCATAGGAGGCGTAGTGCCCAGGAGTTGCTGGTCAGTTCTGAAACGGACTTCATCCCGTTGGCGGAAGGGTAGAGGGTCGAGAGCGTCACTTCGTCTGGTTCTTGAGAGGTGTTTTCTTTGTTCTTCATTTTGGTGTTTTGACCTGCAGCGGTTTTCTTCTTCTTCACTTCTTGTTTGTACTTTCCTTTGGCACCAGCGGTTCTCTTCTTGGACACAAATTTGCCGCTTTCCTTTGGGGCAGCGGCAGGCTTGGCTTCCGCTTGTTCATCGGTTCCCTCCTCTTCCTCCATTTGATCCTGCCCTTGAGCCACTAGTGCCTCGTCGTCCTCTAGTTCTGCGTCGGTGGTTTCCTGCTCTGCATTTTCTCTAGCACTAGCATCCTCTACTTCAGTATCCAAGAAAAAAACTGTGCTAGTGTAACTTTCTTTGGCTGATAGCATCACAAATTTGCTCTACATGACACAGAAAACCTGTCATGCGTGATTTGTAAGGGAAAACACACATGAAAGGAGGACTGCATGGCTGTCTGGCATGATAGGTGTAACTCTGTTGCATGTTCTGCATCACAGATTTACACTTACACAGTTTTTTTCTTGGATATTCAGTTTCTCCTGTCTGCAACAGCGACACCACGTCCAAGTTTTTCGCGCTTTTTTATCAAAATGAAATTTCATCCCGCACACGCAGACGCAAAGCTTGTACCGTTTCATCCGCATGACAAAAATTTTCTTCAATCTCATTCAGCATGACAAGTGGTAAGCATCTGCTCAAAGTCAGCGAAATTTGTGATGCAATTTGTACAATGTCGTGTAGTCCGGGAATCATGAATTTGTCTTCGCATATCTTCACCACCGCTTTCATATCCGGTTTCATCACCTCGAGTAAGCACATCTTCTGAAACGGGCAACAGATTCCACTATGGCACTGGTAACTGTGCACGCAGTTCTTCCCCACTTCCAACCCCGTCTGCAACGGGCAAAATCCGGGTATACTGTGCACCGGCCCGTTGTACACCGGACCAATATTTGCCGTATCCCCCGGTTTAAACGTTTTGCTGTCCGGAGTTAAAGGGAAAAAAGGTCCGTTGTCTACGGTGCAGGTGCGGATGCACTCCTTGCTTCGGCAGTTCCCGCGCGACCCGAGACCGCAGGCAATTGGGCAGTTACACAGGAGCTGGTTAATGCCGAACTTGCTGTAGGGGACTTTCCCTAAATTTAGAGAATTCGACACCCCCGTCTTTTCGTCCACGTGAAAGCTGATTTGCTTAAACGCCGTGTCGCAGGTTCGCAAATCCTCGGATTTTAACTGTTTCCCGACTTGATCTTTCAGCAATACCGCCCAGTCTCTGCAGCTCAAGTCCGCTTCGTCTCGGAAATCCAAGGAATCCCTACACGGAGCGTTTAAATCCAATGCGTTGGGGTTGACGTAGAGGTAGCTGTCGGGAGAGATGTATTTCAGGTCGAACGCGTATTTTGGGGGCGTGAAGTCCAACTCTTTGGACGCCGGTTTTTTCTTGTCCAACAGCTTGTAGACCAACGACCTCGTGTGGGGGTGGACCAACGGGTCGGAAACTAATTTCTCCAGTCTCTTCCGCTGCTCGGCGTTTGCTTCGCCGTCTTTATCTTTTCCACTTTGTTCCGATGATCCGGCCCCGAGCAACCCTGTTGGTTTCTTGTACGTGGAGAAATGCGCCATTTGACACACCAACTGCGTCGCGAGTCGGTGCTGTCCGAGTTGTTTGTCGAAATTCACTTTTTGCGGTTGATTGAAGATAAACTGGCCGGAGGGAGCGAGTCTTTGGCACCCAAACGGCGTCCACTGATTTTTCACAGCCGGGTCGATGCTACTCCCTTTCGATGGGTAGAAGAAATCTGCCGCTTTCCTGCACTCTGCCTCGGAGGAAACTGGGACGAAATTCGCACCGAGGACTTGCGGACAGTTGAACGCGTCGACTTTGGCTAAGACAAATTCCGGGATGATCTGCGCTTCCGGGAGTTTGTACAGCGTGAGGTCTTCCACTCGGGTCGGGAAGAAGGGTTTTTGGTGCTGATGCTGCTTTATTTTTCGTTCTCCATTTATTTTCCGGTCGACCTCAGCGAGACTCACAACATCGGCCTCCGTAGTTCCATCCGTAGTTGCCTCTCGCAGAATTTCTTCGGGAAAGTCCTCCGTTTTCCCGTCTAAATGCTCCAACTCTACTACTTCATAATCTTCCTCCTCGTCGGTTTTTGCTTTCTCCTCCACGTCCACATCATGCTTTTTCGAATTCAGAAGTGCAGGACCAGCAGCAGAGGGCGCCGCCGTCACGACCGATGGGGAAGTAGACGCTGAACCTGAGGTTGCAGCAGATGTTGTTCCTGCGCTTATAATCGGGTTGTTGTACGGGGTCGTTGATGAGTTGGCCGCACTCTTGTTCATTGCTACTGAAAACGACAGACTATTCTTCGTCCTCAAAAACTCCGTGTCCACCTTCAAAGTCGTCTGCCGGTCTGGCATATGAACTGCAAAAGCATCGCACTCGTAGTAATTGCAGTTATGCGTTACAAATCTTTTTCCTAAGATCAATCAGCATTACAAATTCCATTTCTCATGCTGAGGAAATTTGTAATGCAATTCAGACTAGTACCATGCTTTTGCATTTCGTATGGCAGCCACGCGCGACTGCGCCATTTCTTCCCTTTTTCCTGGCTGTTTTCGAAAAGCAAATCTTCCTGCGCAGTTTGTCCGATCCGGTGGAGCGCAGTGGCGTTCCTTTCTTCCTTCGCAATCTCGTTGGCGAACTTGACGAGATTATTGGCTGTGGCGGGTGCGAGGTTGAAGATTTGTTTGGCGTATGGGAGGGGTAAAATGACAGAGTTGAGCTAGAAGTAGCTGGCATAATTGAGTATTTTCCACCCGGTGTTCGTATACCCTTGCGCAACGTTCACTTGTTGTAGTGGGTGAGCCTTGGAGACAACTTGAGTGCAATAGGTTGCCAGAGTACTGACTCTCATTCAAAATCAAACATGCGGGCATGCGTGCTGTTCGCACAGACGCTCAGATGTTTATGTGTTGCGTGTAACCTGCAAAGATGCAAAATCCTCGAGTGAAATGATTGATTATCCACGTTACAGAAGCAATAAGTATGATCACTTCCATGGTCCAATTCATCTTTCACCACCCCATACCGACCCGGCAACCTTTCTCGTCTTCCCATCCGCTAGCTCATACGTGTACGGCTCGCCCTTGATACTATTCAGCGCGCCCGGAAAAACGCCTTCCTTCGCAACCACGGAATTCTCCATGGCGAAGCTCCAAATCCCGTCTTTGTCCTCCTGCAGAACTTGCTTTTGCTGCGCCAAATCCTCATCAGATGCTTGTGCGGGAGAGGTGATCTTGAATAATCTGTTTTTCTCCTTCGTCGGATCCTCGTACACGTCTGTGTAGGTCAGCGAATCTCCCGCTGGATACAAATATGTCCCGTTCAGTGCGTCGGTTTGGATTACGCCGGAAATGTTGGTTAAATTGCGGTTGTACGCGTAATTATCCATTGTTCCCGGGAAAACCACCGGGGAATTGTCGCCCAAATCCCCAGCTTGTTCCAGCAGATCATGCTCTTCGGACCACTGCTGCTGCAGTTTTCCCTGGGCCGGTACGGGAACTTGATTTTCATTTTCTGTTTCCTGCAGCAAAGCTGTTGTAGTACCTGGTGTCGTGGTCCCCTTCTTCCGATCGTCCAGAACCGGCAAGTGCTTCAACACCGGTGGCTGCAGACTGACAGACGCAGAGCAGGCGGACGCGGTGCCGCCTTCTAAAGGGATGCCGAAATCTCGACAGATGAATTCCTGCATCGATTTCATCCAAGATTTGTCCAACAGCAAGTCGTTTCCGCTGGTCATTCCCTTCAACACCAACTCCATTTTGATCACACCCTCGAGTTGGATTGGTTTTACGCCAGCTCCTGAAGAGGAGGAAGAAGCCGCGCCTTTCGTCTCAAAAACGCGGCCTCTTTCCTTGCTGCAATATTTCGATTCGGCGATGAAGTAGTAGCCACTGGAGCAATATGCATTGCAGATATGTCTGGGTCTAGAATAAACCTGTGATGCTGAATTGAGCATGATAGAAGCGCTTGCAATGGCAGCCAAGCATGACAAGTTTTCGAGACACCGACCTGCTGATGCCTAGCACGCATCACAGATTGCGTTTTTGCATGACAAAGCAAGCCCCTCGTTACGTTTGCTGTTAATGCAACACTGATTTTCCAGGAATGCAAGACACGCATCACAAGTTCCACTGGTTCAGACGTATTTGCATTTGATAAGCAACCTGTGGATTTGCAGGCGTACTCCCCCGGGGTCGAGTATGGATGTGTCAGAATCGAAATCGACAAAGTAGTTGAAATGATTTGTCATGCATAAAGTGGATGCCAGTTGAAGCCCACTTTTCAAGTGGCGCATGACAAAAAATTCAGGTAGAACCTAAATCCAGTTTGTCATGCTGTTTGGGTAAGGGCGGCGCCTTTTGTCATGCTACTTTAGGAGCCCTATTTCTACCCCTCAAGAGGCTTACAAATTGCCTCCCTTGCGTCCTCTGCAATAGAGACAATTTTTGCGCTCCACTTTATGCATGACAAACTATTAATTTGTTCAATTTAAACTTTGTCGATTTCGATCCTGACACATTCATATCGAGCAGCCTTCTTCGAGAGACGTTGCGGCGAGACCGTTTTTACACGTGCAGGGCTTGTTTATTGTTGGCGAAGGTGCTGCTGACTCGGCGTCGGCGTCGCCTTGTGCTGCTGCTGAAGCAGCTCCTGGTGCTGCGATTATTTCGGCCTGTGGGGTGGTTGCAGGCCCACCCTGTGCTAGGCCACCTCCCGCATCGGCTCCTGCACCAAGAACAGGAGATGCAGCTGCTTCTCCTGCGTCTGCTGCGCCAGCGGCTTCGTCTCCTGGTGCAGCAGCAGGACCATCCGCCGCTCCGGCTGCTCCCCCCGCAGCTGCATCTTTACCACCTGGCGCCACTGCACCTCCTCCTACTTCCTCTGCTGGCGTTTGTTGCAGAAGTTGCACGACTTCGCCTTTATTCCCCGCCGCATTTCCACTCGGTTTCTTTCTCCTTTTCTTTTTCTTCTTTCTCCCCGCATGTAACTGGCGGTCCGCTTCCAACAGCATGCTCCTACACGCGACGCTTCTTTGCGCCTTCCAGTGTTTGAAGTAGTTGGCGATCAGGAAGCCGTGGGTTTGCTGCAAGAAGGATGGCGTGAGAAAGAGGGTTTTAAGGAGGAGCATGGCGAATGGAGGGCGACGCATTCGCTCGTCGTGGCGGTGCGGTGCTGCCGCCCGATGATGCTGGTGTTTTACTTGATGTGGCCACCACATTGTCGTGGGTGTAGCTCTACTGGAGAGTTTTTTATTGGGAGGTTGAATACCGCCACGCGCACAGTTCTCGCGTCCAAAAAACGCGGCCAACCCTTACCCGCTGTCAATGTGCTGCCGCGCAGCGATGACGACTATGGAACTGTCAGAATTGAAATTAACAAAGTTGAAATAATTTGTGATGCATAAAATCTGTACCAGTTGGACCCACAGTTTCCAATCGGCGCATGACAAATTTTCCTGGCCTCTGAAGCAAGTCTGTCATGCTGTTTAGGGCAAGATGGCTGCTCCCTGTCATGCTAGTCAGCAGCCCGATGCTTGACCCTTACCAGCACTAGAATCTGCCTCCCTTGCGCCTTCAGCAATAGAATCAGTCTCTGTGTCGCATTTTATGCATTACAAATTATTTCAACTTTGTCGATTTCAACTCTGACACATCCATAGCGACTATGAAGGCGTTGAGAAGAGGACACATTTTGCAGTTTGCTTAGCCACCGGCCCCGGACGAGCTAGTGTTACGATTAGGAGGGACGGGAGATTTTGGTTTTTAGTACTACGCTCCGGCACTTCTTCATCGCAAATACGCTCCTCCTGCGACTCCTCTTTTTGCTCTCAATTGGCAGAAGTAAGGACCCACCAGTGTGTTTGTGTACGCCTCCAGCTACTACAGATGCGGCGTTTCAATACCTAACGCTCCAAAAATACAATAAATCTCATCTCTCCATCGCATAGCACCATCGCGAATAATCTTACTCGCGAGGGTGCAGAGGACCACACCACTCAACAACGCATCTGATGTGTGCTCAACAACGAGAAATAACAAGAAGATGCCACCAGGCCGCTCAAAGCCGATGCAAGCACAAGCAGCAGGCCGTGCTGCGGTTTTGTCAACGTCTCTTTGTGTTTCTGCGTTTTCAACAGTGACTTCTTGTTATTTTTAGTCTATCTCTAGAGTGATATCGTTCTGTCTTGAATTATTATTATTGTGCATTACAGTGTGAAGCAGCATCATTCAAGCTGCGGGTCCAACGTTGTAGACGTTCCCTTCGTTCCAAGCAAAGAATCGATTCTACAACGTCAATCCTCATCTGCACCCCCGCCTATTCCTCTGCAACCGCCCCGTCCGATGCCACGACACCACCCCCAAACGCCGAGTCGTTCGCGGTCATTTTTTCAATTGCCGCAATCATCTCCTCCTCGGTAACACCCTCGGATTCCAAAATGGCCTTGAATTCCCCCAAGTCCTGACTGTTTCCCTCGCCAAAGAAGAACGGAAGCAGGACAAAACAACCGATGGTGGCCCTGGATTTTGTTTGTAGCTTGATGGATTTTCAATTGATGTAAGTCGGCGTCGCTAGTATCTATGTCAAGGACGAATAGGAAAACGAAAATAAATGCGTGCTGACAGCTCGTTTCTTTCACGGAAGTCCCACATGATGAAGACAAAGTCGAAGCATAATTCTCATACCATCCCAACATCCAAGCGACCGCAATCAGCAAGACCCGTCGCTCCGTTTTGTTGCTCTGCGGCACCCATTCTGACCGGGGGTCAGGGTTCAGATGGAACAACCGCATCATCAGCTTGTGGTTCGGAAGCCACTGCCTGGTCGCGCGCCCTTTCGCTCTCTCCTGTCCGAAGGTGCGAAGCCGCTCGAGGGATGGAATGTTGTTTGGCACAGCCGAGCCAGAAGCTTCTGCTGATGACGATCGACCGGGATCTGTCATGCTGATCCCGCTACGAGACGAAGTTGCGTTCATCGGCATATGATCCCGCAGCCGTCCCATCTGCCGCCACTGGTGTTCCGTGTAGTTGTGCAGTGGCTGGTAGGAGGAACTTGTGTTGCTGTAAAGAGAAGAAGCGTTTGCGTCTGCTCTCCTCGTGAACCGATCCGCGAACTGCTTGGCGAGACGGCGTTTTTTCCAGAAGAAGGACTTCAGTCTGTACGGGAGTGTTTTCTTGTACATTTCGTACCGTTCTAACCGCTGCTGTGGCGAAATGCCGGCGTTCGAGGTGCAATCCATATCGGTCAGATCGCGGTGAAAAGTACCGAGTTCTGTAGTTTGGTGATTTTGCATCACCCGCATCGGGTCGAACACTTGCCGGATCGGCGGGCCGGGGAAGGAGCGCTTTTGGGTAGTTATTGCGTGACCACGACGACAGTATCCTCTTCCTGCCCGTCCGATTGCATCTCCTGGGTTGGCTATGCTTTGCGAGAGGGAAGATGAAGTAGAAGACTGTGATGGATGCTGTAGGTGCAGGCGACGCGCTGGAGGAAGAGGAAGTACGACTCCACATAGCTGACGTCGCTGCGCTGTTGGCACGACCGATCGCGATGCTGAGCCACCGGGGATGCTGTTCAGATACAACAGAGAAGGTTGCTGCAGTGTGGCCTGCGTCGTGCGAACAAGCGCTGGAAAGGAGGACGAAGACGCTGCCATCATGCTGGCCCTCCAAAAACTGCTTCTAAGGACACAACGCTGCAACGGATCTGCACAGCTAACTGCTTGCTTTGGGTTTTTGGACCACACAGTGTAAGATTGGTTCCTAAACCCTGAAACCTAAACTAAACCCTTTCTGGGTCGATCTTGAGCAGCAGATGAGGGCGGTGGCGCGGATCGAAGGTGAGACGGTCGCGTCGGCGGCGGACCACACAGTGTAAGAAAGTAAACTCGCTCTGGCCACACCCCCCTTCAGCCCAACTCTCGTTCTATTTTCTCTAACAAGGCACGAGCTTCTCCCCTTTAATTTTCAATACGCACAGCAAGAACCTGCTCCAACAACACTCTTCTTGGCGCGGCCGGGCAGATTCAGATCTTCATGTTCTGTAGTTGCATTCAGATAAAATTGAATAGCACTACACACAGAGACTCAGATGAACAACAACAGGCATTCGCTTACTGCCAGCCTGGCCAGGGAGCAAGGTAAGGGACCAACCCGGCCGAAATGTGAATACAAACAGCCAGCAGGCCCCCACCCCCTTTACCTTAAACGAAAAAAAAACACGACACACGCGAGGGCGGCCCGCGCGCTTTCTTCCGCGCCACGCTCCCTCGAATTGCACGCCCCGACCGCCCAAGGTCTCTGTGGGCTGCAATAACGGGGCGCAAGGTAGGGGAGGCGGAACACACGGGCGGCCGGGGCCAGGGCGGTCGGCCGGACGAAGGAGTTGGACGAAGGGCAGCGGCCAGGCCGAAGAATCCTGCGGCCGCGCCGATGCATGAACGAGGCGCCGCCAAGCTGGCAATGGGTGCGACGATAAATACACGCCACCCGCCAAAAAAGCCCGCCCAAATTCGGCGGCGGGCGCACAAAACCAGCAAGCCAGGTCGGGAGCGGAAGCCCCGCCCCAGTCCCGCCAGCGGGGCGATCGCTCATCGGCGCCGCCGCTAAGGCCCGGGGGCGTTCTCGATGTAGATGAAACACACACACGCCACGCCACACACTTGGCCCGGCGGGGCCAAACCAGGGCAATGCGTGCAAAAGGCGGCGGCCCCCCTGGTGGGGCGCGCGCTTCTGCCAGCCCGCGCCCCCTTGGGTGTTTTAGATAGGCCGCAAGGTGCTGCACTAGTCGCGGCGTTTTCGAAGCATTCCGGAACCACGCCCGCGCCCGCAATTCGTGGGGTCGCCGCCTTGCTGGGGGATGCGGCCGGGTGGAATCCCTTCGCGCTCGGTGTTACGGCGCCCGCGCCGTCGCTTACCACCTAGCCGCTCCGCTGGGAGGCGCTCGCCCGCGGCCACCCGCGTTCCAGGCGGCCGCGAGCCCCCCACCTTTTCCCCGGCCGCTGGCGCCATTTGGCCAACGGGCGCCGAAGCTCCCCAGCGCGCGCGCGGCGCCCTACGGTTCCGGGGCGTTTGTAGTTGGTCTGCAAGCCATTGTGGTATTATTGCGCGGCAGTAAAGTAGAAAGCGGCAGCACACGATGCGTGACCTCCGTTGGCGCCGCAACGAACACAAGCAGCGTTCTAACCGATTTATCGAGCAGCATCTGTCTCGTTGTCTGTTTCTGTATCGGAAGTCGTTATCAATGAGTGTGATCATGCTCGTCATTCGCATTCTCATATTTTCGGAGCATGGGCAAAAAAACCGGAGGATCCAAAACCAAAGTTGATTTTCTTCGCATCGGGGCACTTTACTTTATTTACACACGACACGCAACAGCCAGCTCTTCCAGCACAGGACGCAAGCACCGGCTGGCGTTGCGTCATCGAGCAACAGAAGAGTTGTTGAGTGCCACCAGTACAAAGCAAAATAGGACCACTGAGGCCAACTGCAACCAATGAATTTAAATATCCAGCAACGCTACTTTTTCCTCACAACTCTATTCCTCCCTTCACCAACCCCAGCCCGAACTTCTTCAAAAACTTCTCATTTTCCCCGTTCCACAGCTCCGCTTCCGCCTTCCGCTTTTCCACGACAAAGTCGCACAACTGGTCCCACTCCGGGTGTCGTTTTTGCCGGATCCCCTGAAAATTCACGTAGTAGTCCCCGTCAAAGTGCCAGCCGTCCGGAAGCCGCCCGCTGTTGACGTTGAACCCAAATTTTTCATCGTGCAACCCGTGCAAGTGGAGCTCCGCCTCGCTCGGGTACTTGGGAACCTGCTCGAACAGTTGAAAAGTGCAGTTTTTGGAGAGGAGAACTTGGTCGAAATAGGTGGTGAGTTTTTCGTGGAAGTGTTTTTGTGCTTGTTGGTCACCTTCTCCTACCGCAGGTACGTAGAGCCAGAAAAGAATTTGCTCCAGCGAAGAAGGCACCAATTCGGCATCATTGCTGCCGTCAATGATCGTCCAGTTGTTCGGCTCCCCTTGTTCACCTAGCCTCAAAGACCCGGACTTGATCCTTTTCAATGTCGGAACCGTCACCGGTGCGGCGTCGATTGTGAAGCTGCTAGAAGTTGTACTAGCTCCTTCTTCTTTGGTACTGCAATAGCTGTTCATCTTACAACCCGCACCAGCCTCCGCCGTTAACACGTTTTTCAATTCGATCGAGATCAAATTTTTGTTCCTTACAAGCTCTTTCGTCAGAGTCACTTTCAGCTTTTCGAAGTCGAACAACTTCTGTTTCACGTCAATTTTCACGATCATCAAGTCTTTCGCTGAAAACAATTCTGACGATCTGTCGCTGATGTTGTTGTCTAAGCAGCCCGGCTATGGATTGCAAAAGTGTCTGGGTCTGGAAGAATGCAAGATTTGTCATGCATATTTCTCATGACCCACGATGCCTGTAATGCATGCCCCAGCATCACAGGTTTTTTGAGGGATTCTTGATGCCCATTCCGCATGACAAATGCCCTCTCCGCGTAGCAAAAGTTAGACTCTGTTTGCTGCTCATGCAACACAAATTTTTTAGACATCGAGACACAGCATCACAAGTTGCATTCTTCCCGACCCAGACATTTTTACATTTGATACCGGTCTTGACACTAATTTCTCCTTCGCCAAATGCGCGACGGCAAAGGCGTCGGATATGGAGTTCTCAAATGTTACATTTTCAACTGTTGTCATGCAAGACTCTCATCAGTATCCACATCATCAAGCTGCTTCGCATGACAAATTCCTGAAGGGCTAAACAGCACCTGAATCTGTGTCCAGCCTGTAATGCAAAAAGCGAAATCTTCCCCCTTGCGCTTTTGCTATTCTTGCATTACAAATTCATGTAACACTTGAGAATGTAACATTTGAGAACGCCATATCGGAAGCCGATGCGGAGGTGCGGCTGCTGAAGTACTCATCCGCTTTTAAAAGTTGCGCTTTGGGATTCACCGCTTTCACGAAGTGTTCCAGTTGCTGGACCGCGATGGCGGTTTGGTAGGAGGTGGAGTTCGGGAGAAGCGCAACGGTGCAAAAGCCAGGCTCGAGAAGGGATCTGTGGAAGGGGATTTAGTAACGATGTTGTGATGCTGCGACATGTAAAGAAGCAACAAAAGAAAATTGTGTAAATGCAGCTGGCACCAGATCTGCTCCTGTTGGTCATTATACAAAAACGAACATGCGTCGCCAGTATCCTGATCAACACCAAGAGAGAAAGACGACCCATGCTGTTCTTACCTCACGGAATCCGGTAGGAAGTTTTTGACCAGTTGAGAGGAAATCTGCGACTTTTCCTCGGCAGAACAAGAACTCCCCGAGGACGGCAAGACGGTCGATGGCGTGAAGATCCCCAGAAAGTCCCGCAAATCCGTGACACAGTGGGCGTTTGTTGGCGGAATCAAAGCAAGCCCCGAATCGTTCAGAATCACGGCGTTTTTCTCCGGGTAGTGGAGCGACGAGGAAGCAGACGCTGTATTTACGTTTTCCACACTGTTCCCTGTGCAGGAGCTTGTTGTACTATCTCCTCCGATTTTATTTGCCAGAGCTAGTCGTTCCCTGACACTGAAGAACTTTTTTTTCTCCCTCTTGGCCAAGTTTTCGGCGAATTCGAACGTCACCGTGCTATTCGGCAACGTGTTATGCATTGCAAATATGTCTGGGTCATCTGGAAAATCAAAATTGGAAGTTGTATTGCGTGTCCGGGATTCCACAAAATTAAATCTGTATTGCATAAAAGCAACGAAAGCACCGAAATTTGTCATGCAAAAGCGCAGTTTGTAATGCGCACTAAGCATCAGAAAGCGTCTGAACAATTTGTCGTGCTACACTGCTCTTACAGACGCAGTTGCTCATGGCCATTCAGCATTACAGGTTTCCAGACCCAGACATATTTGCATTTGATACGTGTTGATCCACAGCAGATTCGCCTCGCTGTAGCTTTCCGTCAAATCTCCAGGGGTTATCACACCAAAAAGTGTTAAAGTTAACGGTTTTCATAGATGATTGCAAATATGCATGACAAATTTTCCGCAGCATAAATGCTATGCATGACATCGGTGGTCTACGGGCAGGCTGTCCCGGTGGCGCTTTGGCCAATCGTACAGAGAAAAAAACAAAAAATACAAGTTAGGTAGGAATACAATTGAAGGTTATGAATGAAGTCAAAAGTCGTAGAGACAGTATTAAAGTAGTTCCTACGGGCATGGTCACGATTGGGTGACCATGCCCGCATGGTAGAGACAGTATTAAAGTAGTCACGAATGCTATGCATGACAAATTTGGGCACGTTTTGTGATGCGTTACTGCATCACGAATTCCGCTAACGTTAACACTTTTTCCCGTGATAGGCGTCCCGAAGGCGGCTCGCCGGCTGTTCGGCGGCATTCGGGCTAGATGAGAGTCCGTGAGGGAAACCGTGTTGAGGAAGTTTTGCAACGCCGGTGTAGTAGTTGTATTAGTGGTTGATGAGGAAAGAACGTCTGCTGTTTTATTTCTACCAGTTCCCGTTCCGAGAGGACCCATCGCTGTTGAAGATTTTGCGAAAAACGACTCCTCCACCCCGAGTTATCAAATGCAAAAGTGTCTGGGTCTGGAACCTTGCCAGGTTTGTCATGCATATTTTGAATGACTCATCATGATGTCCTCTGTGATGCATGCTCCCGAGTGACAGAATTTTAGAGGGCTTTGTGATGGCTCTAACGCATGAGAAATGCCCTCTCCGCGTAGCACAAACTGGAGTCCTGTTGCTGGTCATGCAATGCAAATTTTTTTAGGATCCAGAGACAGCATCACAAGTTTAGAATCTTCCAGACCCAGACATTTTTGCATTTGATACAAACAGTTCACGGACAATCGGCGAAGCGAATTCTGGTTCCGCGGGGGAGACTCGTAAACCGATGGTGGATATAACCTGCTCATGTATTTTTACAATCTCAGACATTACCACAACTAGAAGATGGAAATCTGTTATGCAAGACCTGCATGATCATCTAGCCCACTCCTACAGGATTGCGCATGACAAGTTTCGGAGTCCCATCAAAGCGCACTACAATTATCTTGCGAAATTTGTATTGCAGAAAGTGGAACGCAGTGTGAGTCTGTCATGCTCATCGTGCCAGACAAAGCCCAAGCCCTATTTTTGTAACGTTTGAGATGGTAACCGATTTGAGCAGGTCATAGTGGAAAGCCAGGGATTCGGAATGCGGACGAAGAACGAACAAACTGCGTCGGCTATTACACTGAAAAATGGCCCCACCCCCAAAGTTGCAAAAATTTGTGATGCGAAGCTTCCAAATGAACACTTTTGGTCATGCATGAAAGGAGTATGAACCTTTCTGGTGCAGAGTCTAGGCGTAGGCGTGTATCGCATCGCTTGATGCATGACAAGCGCCGCTTTTGCTGGGATCTTTTGCAATGCAAATTTTTGCTATTCACTTTCACGATTGGAATAAATCTGTGATGCTGATAGATGCAAGAGGGCGAGTGTTTCACTTGGCAAGGTTTGCAATACAAATGCTCTCAATGATTCGGGAGTGCTGGGGGAATTTTTTATTGCAATATCGGCTTCTGCTCCTGTCGGAGGTGGTGCTGTCGCATATCCTGTGCAAAAGTATCGCGCTCGTAGTAATTGCAACCATGCATTACAAATCTTTTTTGAAGGTAAATGAATCCGCATTGCAAATTTTATTTCTCATGCTGAGAAAATTTGTCATTCAATTTATACTATCACGATGCTTTTGCATTCGATATCGCATCAGAAACTACAACTTCCGGACTCCCACTCAGCGTCGCCTTACAGTAGACCGCGTTTTTGATCTGCAGTGCGGTTTTCGGCACGGCGCTGTTGCCAGAAAACGGAGTCGCGGACACCACTTTCATCCACAGTTCTGTAGTTCCAGATGATAAAGTTGTGCTGGAGGTCCCATATGGGAGTGTCAGGATTGAAATCGTCAAAGTTGAAATGGTTTGTCATGCATAAAATGCGACGCAAAAAGTGACTCTATTGCAGAGGACGCATGGGAGGCAGATCATAGTCCTGGTAAGTGTCAAAAGTTGGACTGCTGACTAGCATGACAGAAGGCAGCTCTTTTGCCCTAAACCGCATGACAGACTCGCTTACAGGACCGGGAAGTTTTGTCATGCACCGACTACAGGCTGTAGCTCTAACTAGTATCCGTTTTATGCATGGCAAACTATTTCAACTCTGACGATTTCAATCCTGACACCTCCATATCCCAGCAGTAGCCATCTTCGCGGAAAAATTCTTCAAATCCTTACACGTATACTTGATGAAGAAATCTTCCTTTTCATCACTTTCACTGCTTCCAGAAGATGATCCACTAGCTTTCATCGCTTTCCTCGAATACAGCGCCAGTTGACTCGCATGTGGCTTCAGGTCCGTTACCTTAGAACCGATGAAGCAGAGGGAAGAAGTTGTGGAGGTGGCCGAGCTGGAGGAGGAAACAGTTCCGTATTGCTTCAACTCACTGGTCAAGGACGCAGACACTTCCGTTAGCTTACTGGTCGGTAAACACAAAACCACGCCCGTGGTGTGGTCGGCGGTGGTGGAGGAGAGCTCCTTCAGATGTTGAACAGGCTTGGTTTTTGATGATGAATCATCCTGTGTCGTTGATATTTCCTCCCCTTCCACGGCCATTTTGTTCGAGGAATTTTCACTGCTCGTCGTCTCTCCGAATGAAAAGGGACTCGGAAACTTGTCCCCCGTGATCCGGATCGCCTCTCCCGGCGCGCGGGCGGCCGCTTTGGTGTACAGAAACGAGTCGCCCCAGACGACTTTTGTAGACGATAGTGTTGTAGTTGAGCTAGTAGTCGTTGTGCCTGTGCTGTCACTTGGTAAAAAAACACGACTCTCGTCCACCACCGGTATTTCTACCTTCACGGTTACTAACACCGTTCCGGCTTGTGGTTTAGAAATGGTGGTGTCCAGTGGGTATCCGAAACTGTCCAGAGCCTCGATTTTGATGTTGTTATCGTCTCCGATCTGTTTTGTCACGTGCTCCCCCATATGCAGTGCAAAAGTATTGCACTCGTCGTAATTGCTATCGATATCGTGCATGACAAATATCGCTTTTTAGGTAAAATAGCATTACAAATTGCATTTTTCTTCTTGAGAAAATTTGTGATGCAATTCCTACTAGTACAATACTTTTGCAATGCATACCCCAACTGGGAAAAAAGCCACTCCCTGTACGCTGTCGCAAGGGATTTACCGAGAATGCTGTCGAAGAGGGGGAAGATAGTGGTTTTGGTACTAGGACAAGTGGTAGCTGAAGCATTTTGATTCATCTCTATTCCTGCGGATGAAGTAGATGTTGCTTTCACCATAAACGCGTCGACGCAGTGTTTCGCCAGGGCGATCTTGCTCAGCAGCTCGTGGTTCATTTGTCGTGTTGGAGACGAGTTATCGGATGCTGATGTTGAGGAAAACACCGTCGGTATGGTCCGAGCGAAAAACGTCTTCCACTTTGGGTCGTAGACCTCGTGCTTGATGAAATTTGGACACTCCGTCACTGTGGTTTGCACTTGTGTCGTGGATGGAGAAGTAGAAGCTGCCCCGAAAACTTTTGATTTCCTGTAAGGCAGGTTGTCCAGGACTTCCTCGTTGTTTAACTCTCCGTATGCTGTATGGCAGGAAAAAACTGGTGTTCCACTGTGAACTACAACTCGTGATGCAAAGAGTGCCTCACACACTGGCTGCGCAAGTGTTTGTCTTGCTAGTGATGCAAGCCACAAGGTAACAACTTTTAGCCGTGTTTACTTCCAAGATGGGAAAAAATGACAGAGCATGCCAGATTTTCTATGTCACGCGTAACGTCAAACTTTCGATGGTGTAGACCCTACTGCAGCATCAAAATCATCACAGTATTAAACAGGTTCATTTATTTTTGTTCGATATTCCCAGAGTTGGCAGCACGCGTCTCGGTTGTAGAAATTTCCGAATGATTCCTTGAAGGCGGCGAGGAGCGGGTCGTTGGTGTCTTGCATCACAGCTTGATCGCCAGGAGTGCCGGTGCCATTACAAACTAGCTCCTTACAGTAAACCACATCCGACGCGCCGACGTTGGAGAAGAGGAATTCCAACTATCCAGGAAAAAACACGACCCATCCCCAACATCCAATTTGTCATGCAAAACGCGCAGGAGTTCCAATGTTTGTCATGCAGAAAATGGATGGGAGTACGTGTTTTTTCCTGAGAAGTACCAATTCCGACTCCAAGTTCTTCACTTTCTTCTTCATAGACAGAAACCCATGATTCCCAAACTCGTCTAGCGCGTACGCCTGTACCAGCGGCCATTGCTCGATGGATTTCCCGAAGACCCCGACGGATTTGGTGTAGGCTGTATGATTTTTTCTGAATGTGATCAAGTCGTGAGGAGGACTCAGCTGGAGGTGATCGTGATTCTAGTACAACAAGCATGACAAGACTAGCGCATCCATCATGCGATGTTGAATCCCGCACGACAAAAAAAACTCAACTTTAACTCTAACTATATACCTTCCTTCGTCGGCAACACCTGGCTCCCGGGCTGCTCCGCGCCAAACCCTTCCGGATAGTTCAGCGCCTGGATGAAGGCCTTGATTTTGATCAAATCGTAGTCGTCCCCCAGTTTCCCTTCCCTGTACCCCTTCGGATCGTTCAGAAACTTCTCGTTGATGCACTCCAAGCGGCAGCTCCACTTATTCTCGCTTGCGTTGAAAACTTCCAGGTTGGGCCACAGACACATCATATGAAGTGCAAAAGTGTCGTGCTTTGCATTTATTGCTCTAGTAGTTGTGATTGCATTACAAATTAGCTCAGCACGAAAGAGACGTCAAACGGAATTTCTCATGCTGATTTAGCTTAGGTCAGCGTTATTTGTCGTGCATGCTTGCAATTACAACTACGACGACGATATTTTTGCACAGGATACATCACCTCATGCAGCTGCTCCGCGATGGTGTGATTCGGGGCGAAGACGAACGTTTTGGACATGTGCAGGATGTATCAAATGTAAAAATGTCTGGGTCTGGAAGAATGCAACTTGTCATGCTAAATCTGAAGCATGCAAAAATCTGTGTTGCATGACTACAGCCGTTCAGTTTTGACCAAGTCGGGAGGAAGTTTCTCATGCAGGATAGGCATGAGAGAGATCGCGCAGAATCTGTCATGCTAGGTCCTGCATTCCAGACCTCATGGGTCACTCATGGAAAAGCTGCATGACAAATCGCGCATTGTTCCGGACCCAGACATTTTTACAATCCATAGGATGATAAAAACCTATGAGAGTGCACAACTCGTCCCCCTCTCGTCCCTTACTTGTCATGCAAAATATTACCAAATCCACGCCCTGCCTCTTGGCACTGTTTGCATGGCAAGTTCTGGCAGCGTACATAGCACGACAAGAGCCCTGTTCAAATTTGTGATGCAAAAACTACACTCTTACTGACGCTTGTCTTGCTGTTCATGCCGTACAAATGAGGCGGAGGAGGAGTTCTCGTGCACTCGGATAAAACCTCATCCCAATCCGTCGTGCACGAGCCGAAGAGGTTTTTGAAGGTGTTTGAAGATCCCCCGGTAGTTCCAAAAATACCCCCACCGACATAATTCTCCCCGTCCTTATCCAATGCAAATATGTCTGGGTCTGGAAAGAACCTGTGATGCATGTCAGTGAATGGAAGCCCAAGCATGTCTGTGCATGACAGATTTTTCCGTGCTGGCTTCGTGTTGCGTATTCTGCATGACAAACAGCGTTCTTGCATGACAGACAAGAGGAGCTCTTGCTGCCCGCGCAAGACACAGCTCAGCGTCACACTCACAACATGCCAGACTAGCATGACAAATCTCGCATTCTTCCAGACCCAGACATATTTGCAATGCACAGTCCTTCTCCTCATCTTCGCCTTCCTCCTCTGTGCTTATGCTGTGCAGAAGTATCGTACTCGTACTAATTGCAAACATGCATTACAAATGTTTTTCCTAAGGCAAAACAGCATGACAAATTCCACTTTCCTTCTTGCCAAAATTTGTGATGCAATTTAATATACTAGTACGATACTTTAGCAATGCATAGTGCTTTCCGTCAGCCCAAATTGCTCGTCAAAATCTGCCCACGGATCGTTATGTATTGCAAAAGTGTCTGGGTCTGGAAAGTTGGAACCTGTGATGCTACCTTTGGACTCTACATAAAATCTGTATTGCATGAACAGCATAAGAGGTGCAAATTGCGCTACACGGAGAGGGCATTTCTCATGCGGTATGAGCATCAAAAATCCCTCGCAGAGGTTCTGATGCTAGGGCATGCATCACAGACCTCGTGGGTCATGGAATATCTGCATGACAAACTTCTGCATTCTTCCAGACCCAGACATATTTATGTGCATTTGATAATCGTCCTCTCTGCTCAATTTCGGCTGCGGGGCCGGTTTCGCTTCTTTCACGCCGATCTTCTCCGCGTCCTTCAAATTATAGGGCTTTTTGTGGACGAGAGCGGTGGCTGCACTAATTCCATTTCCAGACGGAAGAGCAGACTGATGATTTCCTCCATTACAACTCGTTCCGAAGGGAATGTCATCGTAGCTGAGCTCCTCCAAAATCAGGTCCGGCCCGGTCTTCCCGAGTAGCGAGTAGAGAAAAACCAGCTCTTATCGCAAGAAAAAACTGTTTCACTGTGAACTTGTGATGCATAGAATGGAAGACAGGACTATTTGTCTTGCTACACCAGCAAGACATCTGATTTTCAAACGTGTTCTCACTTGGGAAGCGAGCATGGCAAACAAGGTCAGGGCACGGGGGCGGGGGCCCCCGTGCAGCGACCTTCCCGACATTTGCAGGACGTGGCGCACGTAGATACGTGGACAGCACGCCAGAAATTTCGAAACTTTGAGCTTGCTACCTATACTGAAAGCAAGAGGCCGGCCGCAGAGTCCCCGCGCTGACCTGCGGCGTTTGCGCCTGGGCCGTACGGCTCCCGGGAATCGCTTCCATCCAGCTGGCCCCTAGGTCATGACGCGGGGACAGAGTCCACACCGCGCTGACCTAGGGCTTTTGCCCCGGGGCCGTGTTCGGGAAGGGGAAGCGCTTGCAGCTGGCCCCTAGGTCATGGCGCGGGGACAGAGTCCCCGCGCTGACCTAGGGCTTTTGCCCCTGGGCCGCACGCTCGCTGTCCGGGAAGCGCTCAAAGCTGGCCCCTAGGTCATGGCGCGGGGACAGAGTCCCCGCGCTGACCTAGGGCTTTTGCCCCTGGGCCGCGCGCTCCCTCGCTGCCTGTCCGGGAAGCGCTTAAAGCTACCTAACCCCTAGGTCATGGCGCGGGGACCTGTCCCCGCGCTGACCTAGGGCTTTTACCCCTGGGCCATGCGGTGTCCGGGCCGGCAGGGTGGGCCCGTGACCACTAGGTAGCCCCTCCGTCATGTGGTGACGCTCGCTGGGACAGGGTCTCCCCGTTTGCCTAGGGGTTTGGCGCCCGGGCCATGGGGTGTTCCCTCCGGGATGCAGGCGCCCAAAGCTCGCCCCTCGGTCATGGCGCGGGCGCAGAGTCCTCGCGTTGGCCTTGGGCACTTGCCCGGCCGGCCGCGGGCCGTGCCAGCCTGCGGTGCCCGGGAGGCGCTCTCACATGTTTGGACGTGGCGCCACCGCGGGGGCCCATGCCCACATGGGGGCGGGACCGCCTACGGGGGTTCGGGAGATCCGCCTCCTGGAATGTTTGCGCGCCCGTCGCTCTCTGTGCCTGCGTGTTTGCGCCAAGCGGGCCCACTGCTGTGCTTGGTCTGGAATAAAAGCCGACGCGCCCGGCGTTCTTGGCCTGGGTGGTGGCGTGTATGAATAGAATAAAAGGAGCCCCCTGTGGCCCTTCTTTCCGTGTTATTTCTGTGCTATCTCTGCAGAAAAGCGCAGGGCCCATAGATACGCGCCCACCTTTCATTCTCAGTCGGGCGCGCGCTTGTTTTGTCGGCGCAGAAAAGGCACCCGCGTGGGGCTTGGTAGATCGGCGCGCCCGGAATGTCTACGCACGGGGCAAACCAACAGCAAACACATCCCAAGGCACGGCGGCGAGTGGGTTCGCGGGGTCCACCCCCCCGAGTGGGCCTGCTTATCTTTGTTGACACTCGCTGGCCATGCCATTCGGAGTCGCGTCCGAACGCGCCCGGGGTCTGTTCGGGGACGATGTGTCCGGCTTGTATTTCCCCGAGGTGTGTTCGGGAGTGTGCCCCGGGGTTTGCCTGGGGTGTGTCGGATGTTTGTGTGTGTGTGTGTGTCGGGGGTGTGGGCCGGGGGTGTGTCTGGGGTGTGTCTGGGGTGTGTCTGGGGTGTGTCTGGGGTGTGTCCGGGGTGTGTTCGGGGTGTGGGTTGTAAATTGCAAATCACGATGCTACGCACCCACTTTGCATACCCCAGAACACACCCCAAAGCTTCAGCAGTTCTTGTCGGGGGGGTGTGTCGGGGGTGTGTCTGGGGTGTGTCGGGGGTGTGTCTGGGGTATGTTTTGGGGTGTGGCCTGCAAATTACGAATCCCGATGCTATGCAGCCACTTTGCATACCCCAGAACATACCCCAAAGCTTCAAAAGTTCTGGTTTGCTGCAGTCTAAATAGTAATTGTCCGTGTCATGTGTAGCAAACTTGTGATGCAGATCTTGCAAGATCATCACAGTGAAACCTTTTTTTCGCGAGATAGCTCTGATCCCCGGTGGCTTCTCCCATCACTGCCAATATCAAATGTAAAAATGGCTGGGTCTGGAAACTTGTGATGCTGCGTGGCGTCTCATGATGAGGCCACAAATGCTGGCTCAGCATGAGAAGTTTCTGAGCTTCTACGTGTTGCCTATTCTGCATGACAAACTGCGTTCCTGCATCACAGAAAAATGGAGCTCTCGGGTAACGTGCATGACAGATTTAAGAGTCATGCCAGACAAGCAAAAGCATGACAAACATGCATTCTTCCAGACCCAGACATTTTTGCATTTGATAGCCAAGGAGGATGATCAATGCGTCGTCGTTATCCTGAGCCAAAACGTCGTCCCCACGACCCAGTAGTTGTCAACATGCAGATCTGCATCATGCTAAGGAAGTCTGTCATGCGGAACCCCATGAAGGGCATTTTCTGATGGCTTTGTAAAAATTGCTATGCTAGAATCAGGATGAGCAGATCGATTTGTGTTGATGCGGCTTCACTACAACTAGCTCCTTCTGAACGCGATGTATTTTACACTGCACGTGCAAGCGAAAAGTTGTCATGCGCAACAGCCAAACCTCGTTCGATTTGTGTTGCTAAGTTTCCAACTTGAATCTGGGGTACGGATGGACGTTTTCACACGGAATAGCAGTCGGCATCGAGGCGGAGTTGGTGGAGTGCGTAGCATATGAACTGCAAAAGTATCGTGCTCGTATTGCAGTCATGCATTACAAATCTTGTTCTTACACTAAATCCGCATTACAAATTTTATTTTTCATGCTGAGGAAATTTGTAACGCATTTATACTTACGAGTACGATACTTTTGCAGTTCATATAGCACCGGTTCCGAGAGGACACCGGGTCCAAAAATTTGAAAGCCTTCTTGGTACTGTCGGTCATGTTCTTGTGGGCTCAGTTTTTTTTTTTTTTACTGTTGGTTCTAGAACAGGGTGAAATACTGCGGTCACGAAAATTTACAGAGAATGACGAGAAATAACGCTAAAAGACCATCCTGCTCGTCGGAATAACCACCGGCAACTTGTTCATCTACGGACCGCCCCACAAATTATAGCTCTTTTGCTTGGAGGATTTGCAAAAAATCTCTCTCATATCTCGTCTTTTTCTCACTCTCACATTATTTCCAAAGACATTTCCAGTACTCGCAAGCGCCTTTTCGCTTACCTGCTATAGTACAATGGTCGTGAATAAATTGGCTCACTTTGAGGAGGGTAGATGCAGGCATGCGAAACTTTTTGCTCGAAGCCTTCGCTTTGGACCAATCACTTTGGACTTCTTGCTGCGAGAACTCAGTCGCACGACTCAGTTATGGCTTACTGCTAAAGGTGAACAACGAACTACCCCCTGCTCGTCCCCCGCCACTGAGATAAAATTAAAAACAATTCCAATTCCTCTAAATCGAAAATAAATCCTGGAAGAACTACTTGTGTCGCCTGGGCCTCTGGTGCCGTGTGGTTCCGGAAGTGGATCAACATGCGGCGCCGTGAACAAACATGAAATGAAGCAGTATATCCTGTGCAAAAGTATCGCACTCGTAGTAATTGCAAACATGCATTACAAATCCAGTTCCTAAGCAAAATCCGCATTGCAGATTTCGTTTCTCATGCTGAGGAAATTTGTGAGAGCGGGGTAACAAAATAAAAAAAGAGGGCCGCGGGGAACCTCTTGTCCACCCGGCCGGGTGGACAAGAGGTTCCCCCCTTTCGCTGCCGGAGCGGCCGGCTCGCAGAGGTCCCCGCCCCCGCGTCGCCATGTCGGATCTCCCCCCTCGTCGTCGTCCGCCGCTCGCCGGGTGCGGAGATCCGACGTGGCAACGCGGAGGGGGACCTCGGCGAGCCGGCTGCCCCGGCAGCGAAAGGGGCAACATTTATACGAGTATGATACTTTTGCAATGCCTACAGTATGTACAAGGACAACAGTTAAGGTTAACAAGAGCGCAGCACTGCTCGCCAGTTGAGATGAACTACCCGCCCGCTCAAGAGGAGCGACCAACTACTGCAGGTGCTATTGACACTTCTACACCGAACTCAAGAAATCTTCTTCTAGATGAGCGCCATGCTTCATCTGGGTCGTGAAAGTCTTCTCTTTCATACCAAACGAAAAAATCCACCACAGCCAAAATTTCAAATTTTTTCTTTTCCGATTGGACTGGCAGCTGCGGGTGCTCGAGCTGGAGCACTCTTGGTCTCCTGCGTGTTCCCTGGCCGGAGCGAGGATTGCGGGGGACTGGACCTGCAGGCGACCTCCCCAACCAACGCTGCGCTGCCGAAATAATGGCGGCCTGTCAAACTTAAGAAACTTACCACAGGCAAAAAGCGCGGGAAGTGCGAGGGGCCTGTAGCCCTTCCGACTAGGGCGATAGAAGGGTGTCAGACAGAAAAACGAGACGGCCCCCAGAGGCTGCCAGGTGCGGTTTTCCCGCCTTCGGCCTTACGGGCCAGCAGCTTCCCCAAAAATCCGCCACACCAGACAACTGCACACCTTCAGGAGGTGTCCGGTGCTGCTGTGGCGGATTTTTGGGGAACCCTTCCGCCGATGCTATGGCCTTCCCCCAAAAATCCGCCACAGCAGCACAGAGCACCCCGTTGGAGCACCCCTCAACAGGCTTACAATCTGCCTCACTTGCCTACTATGCAAGGCAGGCACTTTGTGGGTTGCATTTTATGCATCGCAAACTATTTGTTCAACTTTGACGATTTCGATCCTGACAGTTCCATAACCTGCACCAGAACCGTCTTCCAACAAGGAGCCCTGCGCCCACGCCTGCAGGTCACCCGATTGTTCCGATTGCGCCAACGTCCGCACTTGCTCTGTTGTAGCTGCGTCAAGATCTTCCGTTTGCTCATCGTCAACATCATCTTCTGCTCGGCGGCGGGACAAGAATTTCCTGGTTTGATGTTTCGAGGGCCTCGGCGTCTTCATCGTGTGTAAAAACGTGCCCATTCCAGAACTGTCATGCAGATTTACCATAGCGGGAACGTTTGTGATGCGGCATTTCCAGTCGTTTGTAGGAATTTGCATGCGAAACTTTTTGTTCCAAGCCTTCGCTTTGGACCAATGACTTTGGGCTCCTTGATGCGGCAAGAACTCAGTTTCCACAACAAATCTTCATCTTCTTCTAGATGTTGAGTGCCATGCTTCATCTCAGTCATGAAAGTCTTCTGCTCTTTCATCATCTGCATTTTTGGAAAAGTGTCTGGGTGCGACAAGAATTCTTGCACAAAACTTCAAGTTCAATCTTCGAAGATCAGCATAAGAAAACAACCTCGACCTGGAGCTGGACCTCCAAGAAAATAGGTACTATAAACACGACGTTGCAGAGCTACAAAGTTGGAAGTATACCGGTATGAAATGACCCAGCAGCGCCTTCTTCGCGGTGTTATTGTTCAACGGGCCGAGAGGTCCTAGTACCGATATCAGGATTTCTGACAAGAACCCCTCGACGGAAAAAGGGGTGACCGACTCAGACAGCAAAAAAAGTGGACGACGAGTTCTTGCAGCACTAGTAGAAGTCAAGTGGAAATCATGATTTGCAATAGTAGAAGTCGACGACTTCATCTTGCACTAGTGGAAGTGGTGAACGAGTTGCACTCGTCACACAAAAACCGAAGAAACCGCGTGGAAGTTGTAGCTGTAGATACCGAGTAATTTTGAAAAATAAAACTCCACAAGATGTCTTGACTCATCTCGTCGAGTGCAAGTAGGTCGTGGCTCTACTTGATGTGTCTGTGTCCGGTTTAATATTGTCTATAATACCTGGACCTGTTCTTGTGACCGGACGAGGTAGATCTAGATCCGCTTCCGTTCGTACTCAAAAATCCGCTGCCAGAAGGCTCGCGCAAGGGCCAACCTGGGGCACATACAAACACACAAAAATCGGAAGAAGCGATGGCATTGAGCGCTCGGAACTATCCCAGCCGGAGGCCCTACAGGCCCGGTCGCTGTGCATCACCTTCCGCGCGCGGCCCAATAGCGACCACGTGGCTGGCAATATTGCTTCACAAAGGCGACGGATGGGCTACATGGAAGTCCCTTCTTGCCATTTCTGACCCACCCCGGGCTTGGGCCTCGCGCTAAGGTCTCCCGTCCACTTGGCTTTCTGCTGACTCTTTCTTGGAATTTTTTTGGATTTCTGAGAACTTTTTCTCGGAATTCTGTTGGAATTTTTCTTGGATTTTCTGGAATTTGTCGGGAATTCATTTGGAATTTCCCCAGCCACGACGCTATGACGAAATTCCAAAAAAAATTCTGACAAATGTCAAACAAAAGGTTGACAAATTTCCAACAAACGTCAGACGCGAATGCAACAGGCCCGCGACCTTGGTCGCAACCTAGGTCGGGACCAGGGTCACACAATACCAAAGGACGAACAAATACCCCAAATCTGCGCCATGCTTCATCTCAGTCGTGAAAGTCTTCTCCTTCATCTTCTGCATTGGAAAACAAGTGTCTGGGTCTGGAAATCTGCAATACTGATCGCTCCCTGAGTAGAAGATGCTTACTTCCATAAGTAGTCTAGCATGACAAAGTTTTAGCTGGAAGATTGTAAATAAATGAATGTGATACAAAATGAAAATCGAAAGTCACTGTTGTAAAAAGTAAATAAAAGAGTCGTAGTCATTGAATGCTTCAAGACGAAAGAATTGAATAGAGCAAATAGAAAAAGTAGAATATGAAATCGAATGGAAGAATATGTTGAAGTTGAAAATCAAAATGCTTCTGTAATAATAGTAAACAAAATTGAATATGAGTTTGAAATTTAATTTCCGAAAGATACAGAAACAGACGGAAGGCGTCGTGGAATAAACGAAAGCATTCTTCTTCTTCTTTCTTGTTCATGATGTCCATCTTTCCTCCCTGCTCTTCTCTTTCCCTCCACTTGAATGCTTGTGCTTGCTCTTCTACTTGCTGTTGCTTCAGCTGCTCCCGCAGAGGAAGGAACATATAAAAAAATAGGCAATAATTTTTTTTTCGAAAAGCAGCATCCTCACTCACCGTTGTCGTACTTTTCTGCACGGAAGGCAGTAAATGTATGGAAGCGTCAGGTTTGAAATCGTCAAAGTTGAAATAATTTGTAATCCATAAAATGCCTTAGCCTTTTCCAAGCTGGAACCCAGTTTCTTCCAAGTGGCGCGTGACGACTTTCGGCGGTCCCTAAATCCAGTTTGTCATGCTGTTTAGGCAAAGAAAAGTGATTTTCTCATGCTACTTTAGCAGCTCGAGCTGTAACGACCCCAAACAGGCTTACAATCGGCGCCACTTGCCTGCTCTGCAACACACGTACGTACCTCGGGCCATGCATTTTATGCGTGCCAAATTATTTCAAGAACTGTGTCGATTTCAATCCTGACACATCCATAAAATAATGGCTGAAGACGCTACAGCTACAACTGGTCGTGACCAAATGTCGCGGAAATTCGTGCTCACAACCTCCATCTGCAGCTATAAGGTGGATTTATTTCACCGTGTTAGAAGTGCTCCTCATCTTCCTTCGTCCGTTCAAAGGTGGTTTTGCTTTTGGAGAAGTCAACCTCCCCCAGAAGCCGCTGCACCCGCGCCCGGGGACCCACCCGCCTGCGCGGCCTTATCAAGAGTAAAAATGTCTGGGTCTGGAAGATTTCTAGATTTGTCGTGCATATTTTCCATGACCCATGATGTCTGTGATGCATGCCGTAGCATCACAGATTTTTAGAGCGCTTCCTCATACCTATTTTTCCGCATGACAAATGCCATCTCCGCGGAGCACAAAATCTACTCCTCTTCCTGAGCGTTGCAATACAAATCTTTTTCGAATCCAGAGACAGCATCACAAGTTTAGACTCTTCCAGACCCAGACATTTTTACATTTGATAGGACTTGGAGACCCACAATTTCTTGACCGCGGTGGAAAACAGTTTGTGGAACGCAGATCCCCCCCATCGATATCAAATGTAAAAATGTCTGGGTCTGGAAGATTCTGAGACTTGTCATGCATGTTTTGCCTGGGCCATGATGTCTGTGATGCATGCCCTAGCATCACAGATTTCTGGAGGGCCTCGCGATGCCTATTCCGCATGACAAATGGCCTCTCCGCGTAGCAAAAATTACACTCCCTTTGCTGCTCACGCAATACAGATTTTTTTGGAATCCAAATTCAGCATCACAAACACAAGTTGCATTCTTCCAGACCCAGACATTTTTACACTAGATAACCGAGCAACGTGCCCCATGTTCGCGATGAGCTTCCCCAAAACCGACCTGGCCTATCAAATGCAAAAATGTCTGGGTCTGGAAACTTGTGATGCTAAAAGTGAATGGTAGACGGACTGCAATACGCAGCTATGCATGACAAATCTTCCGGCTCCCATGTCTTACGTATTCCGCATAGCAAACTGCGTTTTTGCATGACAGGTAAGAGGGCCTTTTCGTGCCTATGCAATACAGATTCTCAAGTCATGCCAGACAAGCATGACAAACTTGCATTCTTCCAGACCCAGACATTTTTACAGTTGATATGGCCACAGCTTGCACCAAACCGAGACCCCAGCTCTTCAAAATCGCGAGGTCAATGTAGTGTCGCAAACCAGATTCGTCCGAAGTTAAGAACGTATAAATGAGAATCCGCAACGCCGCCGGAAGGCCCAATGCGGTGGTTCTGGGGGTGTAGAAACGAAGAAACGTGCTCACTAGCAGCTTGGTGACGGCCCCGGCCACCATGGAGCAAATGGAAACGTGAAAAGAATGCGTGACGAAATGAAAAATGCTTTTCATAAAGGGCACCTTTTCCACGACAGTTTCCAACCAGTTGCGTGCCTGTTCTGGCGTTGTGTTCTTGTCTATTTTGGAAATTGCCGTTTTATCCTGGTCGTCTCCTTGAGCAGTTTGAGACGCAGACGGGAACTTTGTGTCCAAGACCGACTGGACATTTTTCGTCATGCTCTCGAAGAACCTTCCAAGCGCGGAGGAACTCTGGACAGCGACAGCCCCCGCACTGGGGTTTTGCTCTTTGTCTTTGACTTTGTCCACCTCCACCTTCTCGCCAAATAATTTCTCCTCGAGGCCCTTTAAAGCTTCTGGATTTTCAACAGCCTCTTGGACCTTGATGTTGTCTCCTGTCACCGTTCGCTCAGCCAACTCCTGGTCCCACGTCTTCCCGACGCCACCTGGTGCACCAGAACCGTCTTCCAACAAGGAGCCCGCCCACGCCTGCAGGTCACCCGATTCCGATTGCGCCAACGTCCGCACTTGCCCTGTTGTAGCTGCGTCAAGATCATCCGTTTGCAAATCGTCAACATCATCTGCTTATGGATTGTGAAAGTGTCTGGGTCTGGAAGGTTGGAACTTGTAATGCTAGCCTTCCATACCTAGAAAATCTGTATTGCATAACCAACAAAAGTCGCAGCCTCTTTTGTCATGCAAAAACGCAGTCTCTCATGCGGATTGCCTAGTATGAGAAAACGTTTTGGGAAGTTGTCATGCCGGACTGCATTCGGTAGTGTGTTCATCATGCACATTTTAGCATCACAAGTTTCCAGACCCAGACATTTTTACATTTGATACTGCTCGGCGGCGGGACAGGAATTTCCTGGTTTGATGTTTCGACCTCGACGTCTTCAAATGCGGCGTCGTGCGTAAAAACGTGCCCATTCCAGAACTGTCATGCAGATTTACAATGAAGACAGGAACGTTTTTGATGCGGCATTTCCAGTCGTTTGTAGGAATTTGTAATGTTGTTGTGAAACAGGATAGTACGCAGATGGACATGGATTTGTAAAAATGCAGCTGTCCTTGTTGCCAACTTGCACTATAGTACCTTCAGGACTGCAACTTGTCATGCGTGGCTCCCCAAACTCCTAGGCTTGTTTTGTAAAATCCCCCTCTTGATTCGTCTGGGGTGTTTATCTACTGGAAAAGAACAAATTAAAACACAGAGAAACTTCAAATTGCTATTTCCCATTCTGGGGTGGGGCGTTTTAACTTAGGATATGCGGAGGCTTTTGTTCTTCTCCCACAGCACTTCTGATCTCCTCGACGGCAAGATGAACACTACTTTCCAGGCCGTTTTCTGCTGAGCTCCTATCCTGTGCAAAAGTATCGTACTCGTAGTAATCGTAGTCATGCATTACAAATTTCTTTCTCAAGTCAAATCCGCATCACAAATTTCATTTCTCATGCTGAGAAAATTTGTCATGCGATTATTATACATTATATTCATGCGAAAAAAGAGGTAGACAGAGGGTCCCAGAGAGGTGGCCGAGAGGTCAAAAAGAGGTCGACAGAGGTAGAAAAGAGGTCGACAGAGGTGGAGAGGTGGCGCGGGACCCCGTTCGAGAGGGTCCGCGAGAGGGTGCGCGAATAAGGCCCGCAGTAAGCGCCCACCCTTAGGCGCCGCCTAAGTGGCACAGAGGGTGCAGAGAGGTCAAAAAGAGGGGGCGCGAGAGGTCGACAGAGGTGGAGGGAGGTGGCGCGAATAAGGGGCGACCTCTCGCGGACCCTCTTGGCCACCTCTCGGCCACCTCTGTCGACCTCTACCCGCGAGTATAGCCGGATTATTAGCGGGGACCCCAAAAGAGGTCAAAAAGAGGGTCTGCGAGAGGTCTGCGAGAGGGTAAAACACAAAGAAGCGGGCGCGAATCCGCATGGTGCTGCCAATATTTGCCATTGCAGGCCATTCGCGGACTTGTTTTCTTCGGCGCCTTTCCGCGCCACCCTCTCGCCCACCCTCTCGCGCCACCCTCTCGCGCCACCCTCTCGCGCACCCTCTCGCGCAACCCTCTCGCGCCACCCTCCCGCGCCACCCTCCCGCGCTACGCCCTCCCGCCGGGCGGCTTCTGTTCGCCCCCGGTGTTCTTTGCGGCTGCTCCCTGCGCAGAGCGCCCACAGGCGCGGGAAGCGCGCAAGTGGTCCTGCGGGTTGGCGCGGCGCAAACAGGGGGCAGGAATCCAGTATGTTTGGTTGTGCATAGGCCCTTGGCGTTGTGGTCCCATCGGCAAACAGTCTTGGCCCGGCCCAACAGCCTTGCGCTCCGGCGGCAGCCGGAGCATGGCTGGTTTATACTAGTACGATAGTTTTGCAAAGCATAGCTCCCCTGTTCCGACGACGAGGAGGACAGCCGGCGGGCCAGAAAACCTTTGTTCGTTGCTGGTTCAACAACTATATGCTCTGCAAAAGTATCGTACTCGTACTAATTGCAAATATGCATGACAAATCTTGTTCCCAAAGCAAAACAGCATTACAAATGGCATTTGTCGTGCTGAGCTAATTTGTAATGCAATTTATACTACTACGATACTTTTGCTATGCATAAACTATCGGGTCTACTGTCGTGACTGCGAGCGGCGCCGGGATGAATTGATGTGTTTCATCGGCCGCGGTCGTGGTTTCGAGGAAGCTGCTCTTCTTGCCGTTCTTTTCGCCGGGGTATCAAGTGCAAAAGTGTCTGGGTCTGGAAGATTGCCAGGTTTGTCATGCATATTTTGCATGACCCATGAGGTCTGGCGTGTAGGACATAGCATGACAGATTCTGCGTTAGTTCTCTCATGCCTATCCTGCATGAGAAACTGCCTCTCGATTAGGTCAAAAGTGGACAGCTTTTGGTAATCATGCAACACAGATTTTTACATGATTCAGATCTAGCATGACAAGTTGCTTTGTTCCAGACCCAGACATTTTTGCATTTGATACGGGGAACAAGTGCTCTTGGATTTGCTTTATGATTTTGCCGGTCAAGGCCTCGCCATTAAGGACCTTCAGGCGGTTATGGGAGTGTCAGGATCGAAATCGTCAGAGTTGAAATAATTTGTGATGCAAAAAATGCAACCCACAGAACAATGCCTGTCTTGCATAGTAGGCAAGGGAGGCAGATTGTAAGCCTGTTGAGGGGTAAGAACTGAGCTGTTAAAGTAGCATGACAGCAGGCGTCTTCCTTATCCAAACAGCATGACAGGCTGGAGTTCACTTCTACCCAAATTTACCATGCGCGGCCACTTGGAAGCTCGGTTACAACTGGCATCCATTTTATCTTATGCATGGCAAACCGTTTCAACTTTGACAATTTCAATCCTGACACTTCCATAGAGGTGATCTTTGGCCATGTCAAAAAAATTTCCGTAAATCGTGTCGCCCAACTCTTTGACTTCTTTCGGAGCATCATCATCATCATCATCATCATCACTGGTTGTGGTTCCTTCCAACAATGATGATTCATCTCCGGCATCGTATGAATGCTTAAAATATAATTTGCCCCCCCATAAACCATGTTTTATTTTCAAGAAAACGGTTTCTACTCGATCTCGTTTTACCTTGAATTTGATCTTGACACACCGAGCATTTCAATAGAATTTCTGGTTGCAAGTTGCATGTTCCGAGCTTTGCAATATGGCAACACCGAGCTTTGCAATTGACCACACTTGAGGCTATTTGAGTTCAAGTAGCAACCGATTTGCCTTCAAGTAGAAACCGATTTGCCTTCAAGTAGAAACCGATTTACCTTGCAGAAAAACCGAATTACCTTCCAGAAAGCCGAGACTCGCCTTCAAGAAAACCACAACTTATTCGCGCAGTCAGCTTCACCGGGCTAACTGCGCGAATAGTTGTGGTTTATTACAGAACCACAACTATTCGCGAACATCCACTATTGGCCATGAACAACGACATACAATAACGGCGCATGCGACCGCGGATCGATCTGCGGCACTACTGTTGGAGAACAACATTATTCCATTTGTTTCCTCCTCCCTTCTACGTGTTCAATGTCAGCTGCTTCAACTTTGGTTCGAAAAAGTTTTTCGTAGTGCATGCTGCCGACCACGAGAAAAACAAATGTTCAGTGATGATGCTAAGTTCGCCTAACTTTCACATCATGTTTTTATCATGCGTCAATCTGAAATGCAGAGAGACACATGATCAACCGAAGGTGCATAACGTCCAACCTTTCTATATGTTCCTCCGCGGAGATGGAGTTCATCGTAGATGTGCAATGGACATGGAGTTCATCGTGTCTAGGAAACAATAGAAAGGTAAACCGATGGAGATGGTTTGGGACGGAGAGAAAAGAATGTTCCATACAAACACTGGCAGCGCCCAGCATACCAGTGTGAAGAGATAATATCATGATGCCCCTAAGTGCGGGGCGGACAGGTGAGTTGGGAAGCCTCTTCCCTTACAAAGAAAAATTATTTTTTTTCAAATACGAGCTCGAAGTAGCAGTAAAAAATCAAGTAGCTACGAGAGTACGGATGTACTTTCGTAACTACCTGATACAAACAGAGATGGACGAATAGATACGTCACAAATTAAGACCTTGCATTTTCATAATGTAAAAATAAAATTATTTGTGTGGGAGGTGGGGCACAGATGTTGTCAAGATCGCACACCTCCCGAAAAGCAGCTGTAGGCGATGGTGATGGTGTTACATCACTCATCTATCAATTTCTATAGAAATATTTTAATTTCTAAATTCAAATTTTTTGTGAAGTCGACAGTAAAAAGCCCAGTCTCCAACACCCTGGAGATCTGGGTAAAATTGAAAGTGTTGACAACGAAAGTGATCCGCGAAGGATCACTTCCGACGTCAAATAAAACGATGTTTTTTTTCTAAAACAAAAAATTAAAACTCTAATTTTGTAGTGCGAAACGACATCTGTGATTCCAAATTCCACTGATTGCACGGGAGCGCTATCAGTCGGAAAAATACCTCACAGTACAACCATAGAGCCCATGCTAGTTGATCAAGATCAAATATATGCAAGGACTGCGACAGCTATCGAAGAAAGATTTTTTTTCAAATCACATCTACTCCTCGTTCTCCTCGACCATCCAGAACTCATCCAAGGTGTTGCACCGGCTGCGCTTCGCGGGTTCCTCCACGACCTCAAAATCCTCCGTGGCAGCGCGCGGACGCAACGCTCCCGTGCGGGAGACCAACGGGTTGTTCACGAAGTCGACCACCGGGGGGACGTACGACGACGAAGCGGAGCTGCTGCTGCTCGCAGCGCGGGTAGAACCCGCCTTACCCTTCTTCTTGTCATTCGCGTCTTCGGCCTCGGAGGAGGTGAGCAGGTTCTTCTCCGGGTACATGGAGGTGAACGGGTTCTGTCCGATGTACTCGTCCATCGCGTTGATACCTTCGGCCACGGCCTTGCCGGCTTTGGCGGTAACCTTCTTCTCCTTCTTGGTCGGGTCTTCCTTGATCTCGGTCGGAAACCAGGTGGTGAAGGTGACGCCGCGGATCGTGAACGACTCCTTCGAGAAGCGGATCTGCTGGGCCGACTTGTTCGGCTTGAAGTCCATGGCGATCTCACGGGCAAACGCCGTCGCGTACTTGTGGGCCATCGGGGAGGTTTTCGAACGAAATTCGATCGCCACCGGAATCTTGATCGGAATCACCAACATTTTTTTCAAAACAGTGGCTTCCGCGATCCACGGCTCCCCGGACTTGAGGCTGGCGGCCGGAATGGAGGTGTTGTAGTAGTCGCGGTTCAAGTCCAAGCAGTCCGCCGGCATCTGTGGTTTTTAGTTTGTATGTGTGTGAAAATGATCGAAAAGAAGCCCTTGAAATGATAGTAGATAGATGTAGTTTCTTGCTGTTGTTTGGGGTAGCGACTTAGACTCAGCACCACGACACAACAGGCGAAGGGCGAAATAGTGGTAGTGCGAAGCGGTCCCATATAAACTGTTTCACTGGCATTTAAAATAGAGTCTGAGCCAAGATTGTCTTTAGTCAGTGCGAGCACAGCTTCGCAGCCGTAACGCACTGACTCTGAAAAGCGGGCCGCATCATGGTAACGCTATAAAGCAACACTCTTTTGTGCATGAACAAGCTGCACTTCGCCCTGAAAGTGCTGTGTAAGAAAACTATTGTGCCTTGAATTCGTGGAAGAGAGGCGGAAGACCCCATCTTCGGATTTCGACTGGCATCCACCTTACGAACAACCATTCACGAAATTCTGGCGGAGCAAGATCAAGACTCCAAACAAATTCAGGATGTACGTCCAGCTGGGTGATCTTCTGGAACAGGACCAAGGCGAACCAGCGGTCACTCTCCGCACCCTTCAACGCGTCCTGCAGGACCTTGAGGCTGTCGTTGTAGCGGTCTTCGATCTTCGTCATCGCCTTGACATGGTTCTCCTTCATCTCGACGATCTGGCGGTTGGCCTCCGCGGTCTCATTGATGCTGATCTGTAGTGTAATTTTGCGGACTGCAATTGATCTGGAACATGAGTTTGAACTTGAAAAAAAATGCTGGCATTGATGCATAATAGTAATGCAGTGCTGCAATACGAACTCATGCGCATGGTGCTAAAATATATGAGTGCATAAAAATTTGCTACTGCGTGGTACTAAAGTATCTGACTGCATGGCACCAAAGTATATGACTGCAGTGTCGATGTTGAAGTTGTAGTTGACCTTTAAACTGAAGGTGTAGATGGTGTTGATATGTAGCAATAATACCTTGGCTTTCTTGCGCTCCTTCGCGGCCGCCTCGATGGACTTCGACAGCGCGCGTCCTTCCTCCTTCTGCTGGCGATTCAGGGCGGCTTTTTCTTCCTTGTAGCGGGTGGTGAGTTCTTTCATCGAGTCCTTCAAAGCTTTGATTTCCGGGCTGCTGGTCTTCCCTTTGATCTGGGCGCACTGACCGTCGAGCTTTCCGATCTTCGGATCCTTCTTATCCACATCAGTCTTCACCTGGGTTCCCTCGCCGAACGCCGGCAAAGAGGTATCAAACACGTCGGCAAACCGCACCACAATAGTCCCCGGCATCTCCCCGCAGATGAAGACGATGGTGAACTTGAACTGGCTCTCCAACTCTTTCAACACCGCGTTCTCTTCCTTCAGCTCCTTGCTGCGGGCACCGAAGCTCCAGTCGACGTTGCAGATCAAAAACGCTTCAGCGGGGGTCTTGGCGCACACGTAGTCACCGACCTTGGCGCCCTTGGTCTGTGATATACGTTTACGTTTAGATTGCAGCGCCAGTTGTCGTTGATACTAAAACGACAGCTACATCAACAGCAACATCATCGTCAACATCTTCAAGCGGAATGGCGGGCGACATTCGTTTCACTCTTGGACGCGCACGCGCGATCATCTTTATCTTTGAGTTTGACTGTGACGTCGACATTGATAAAGATGATAGTGCGAAACCGAAAACGAATTACATGATCTATGGCCGTGTCGCCTTTCGCTTCCGCTTGAAGTTGAAGCATTGCCCCATTGTTATTGTAAAAAAGAAATGTAGATAATGATAAAGATAATGATAAAGATATACCTCCCAGGTGACAGCACCGCGTTCGATCATCATGTCTTCGCCATCATCGGAGGAGCTCGACTCCGGGTCGTCCTGGGCCGCGGGCGCCTTGATCGCCAGCTGGGTCTTTTTCTTCTTTTCATCCTTTTCCTTATCTTCCTTCTTCTTCTTCGCAGGCTTAGAGGCGTTGCGGATCACTTCGCTGATGAGGTAGGCCAAAAATCTGTTCTTGTCCGAATCCGCAGGCTCCGAGCGGATATAATTATCGCGGACTAACGATTTTACCTCACGCATTTGTTGCAAACTCATTCCCACTCCTCCTTTGCCGAGCAACGTATGAAAGATCGTTGCCAGGGTCAAGCAACGATGCGACGGCTTCGCGTACTTCAAACCCAAGTTGAACAGGCGGGTCCTGTTCATATTTTTGAATTGAAATAAGAATAAATGTTTGCAGAACCAGAACGAGAGCCAGAAGATGAAGAAGAAGTGCAAGTAGTAGTAGGTGAGTACAGCTGAGTTGTTGACGCAGTATGTATTCATATGACAACGAGAGTGCCCATCTTCAGTGCTAGAGTTCTCAAGGTGGAGGCGCGCGCCCTGCGGACGCAGAGTGCAACGCACACCGAGGCACATCACAAGGCTTTCCTACAGCTCCTGATCACTAGCGTTCGTTACAGCCTCCTTGCGAAAATATTCAACAGCGAGTAGTGTTGTGTACTACATCGCAGCGTGGCCGGAGCCACGGTCGCAGCGTGGTAATAACTCCAATTCGCAAAAACTTCACAGGCCGCTACAACTACATTTAGAAATAGAAAATCTTGCTCTTAGCATGCAAAGCAGAAGGCGATA